CTGACAAGACTGCCTGTTTTGGTGACTTACATTAAGAGTCATTAAGATCATTAAGCTGGAAGCAACTGACATCCATCTTATCAGGTTTTCTACATTTTTCTACTGTGTTTCCTAGTCACGGCCCTAGTCTTTGGATGTCTTTGGCACTCCCCCAATTCAACGGCTCTCCGAACCCTGGAGTTTGGCTCAGCCGCGGAAGTCAAGTCCAAGCGAGCAATGGGGCCTCAGCAACTGTGACAAATGTGGTGACTTTGCCAAGAAACGATGATGACAGTCTATGCGATTCCCATGGGTTCCCATGGGTTCCCGTAAATTCAGGGTTCGGTTGATCTATGTTAATTTATGCTAATTTATACAGGATATGTATCCGATGTGAATAAGCGTATGTACACAATGTCTCTCTGTTCAACCATCGCTTTCCCCTTGGTTGCACCATTATTTTGGTGGATAAAATGGGGTACTTGTTTGAAACAGCACATGGCAGAATGGTGACTCTTTCTTTGTTTGAAACCATGGCAAAACTCTATGGAATATATGGTACCCTCTGGTAGATTAACATAACTATGGAAAACCACCATTTTTAATGGGTAAATCCACTATAAATAACCAGCATTCTGATCATGGACCCACTGCCCCACTGAGCCACGGATTGGCATCCGTGCAGTCTGTAGGTGTCTCGCAGTGTGATCTGCACTTTCCAAACCTGGGCAGATCTGGGCAGCTTGTACCGAGGGAGGACCACCCTGTTCTCAAACACTATTTAAGTGAGTCGTGAGCAGAATAGGAGTCAGATTTTTGAGAAAACTATAGCCATAATAATGCCATAATACTTGGGCTTACTTAGGATACTTAGGTATATCTGGGAAGATTTATGTTTCTGCTATACAAATCGTTCCAGTGGACCCCGACATGTTGCCCATGCAGCTGCCATAGATGTCCGGCTCATTCGTGCCCAGCAAAATGTTCGCCTGACAACTGCCATCCAGCGTGTGTTCAAACATGGGAAACCATGAGACACCTCCAATTTGTATGGTCATTTTATGGCAATTTGGATAGGGAAATGATGATCGAAAACGATATCATGGAACTTTGGGGCACTTACTCTTACTGTACTTATTTGCAAACACACCCAAAAAAACCCAAATATGTGGATCAACATGGCCGGTTATGAGGACGGAACTCAGGAAAACCAATTTGAAGCAACAACAGTTGCAAAGTGGGCTCACTTCTATTTCAAATCAATGATGCAGTACTCGTCACATTGCTTGTTCCATCATATAACACCTGTCTTGTTCTACCACTCTGCGAAAGGGTACCGTATGAAAGTCCAACTAAGGTCATCCCCAATATATTGGCTTTTCGTTAATCCCCCAACTATAATCATCCCACAGGGGGTTTCGCAACCTGCCATCAGGGTCCACACCATCTGCGCAGGGCAGGGCTGGCCGTTGCTGTCCAGAAAGTTCACTTCACCGGCCTCGAGATCAGGTTACCGTCGACCATCACACCAAGAAAAACCATGCCAAACAAGCAAACCATTTATCAAGACTGGGTTTTCATAGACTCAATGTTTAGAAATTAGAGTTTAGAGAACGATTTTGCAGCGAACACCTCCATATTTTGATCCTATGAAACCCACCGACTTTAGATGATCTTAGCTTGTGGGACAAATCAACCATGCCAGGATGCTGGTCGCAGGTACTTCTCCGTCACCTCACCTGCTCCCCACCTGCAAAAAACCCAACGCTGTGCGCCAAGGAAACGTGGGATTGATACATCCCGCCAAAAAAGGTACATGTTTGTGGGAAATCATGGAAAAATATGGACAACTTATGATGAGAAAGCAAGATAAACCATGATAAATCTGATAGATCAAAATAAACCATGATCAACCATGAGAAACCACTGGAGTTTGGGGGTAGTTATATGATGTTATAATATATATATATATATCATGTTATAATATCAATATTTCATCATGATTCATGATATAATATCAATATTTCCGATAAACCAGTAAAACATAGTAAAACATGATAAACCGGCTAAAATCGCGCAAGGAGTGGTCCTTGCAATGGGCCGCCGATGCATCCTAAAGCCCCATCTATAGTACACAATCCCACTGAATTTGTGGCTGCCGATCCCCAACATCAGCATCCTCCAAATTTGAAATTTTGAAGTTTCACAACTCGGCACGTCGACAGATTTGTGAGTCCAAATTGGACCAACTTCCAAGTGATCTTGCACCCAGCAACTTATATCAGTCGTTGGCCACTAGAACCGGATCCACTTGGCCAAGTCACTGCTCTGGCGTGAACAGGAAGTCGCTGGTGAGGTACTGCCAGGCCATGGTGATGCGGCTGCAGGACAATTTCTGGCTCAGTGGTCAATGGCCTAGTTTCGAATCAACATATTCAATATTCAATCCCTTTTGTCTGTGACCGTTCTATACCATTCTATACAGTCTGTTAATCTTGATCACAATAGAACTTCGGAGGATAGCCAGAGTTATATTTTGCATGTAAGAATTTTAACACATTGCACTACATATTGCGCTTGATCGCAAAATCAACATCTGGGAAACCAATAAATATAACATAATAATCATAATATAACTTACTTTCACCACACCTGTACTGTTCCTATCTGTTCCTTCACCACGCCTCCGGAACCTTCTTTCCGCCGACCTGCGTTTTGTTCGCACATGCCAGGACGTCCCAGCGTTGCATCGCTGAAGTGGAAAGGATTTCCGATGGAATGACACGGCGGCATATATAAGTGACTACACATCAAGAAAGATTACAGTATCATCGCACATGAAAAACATGAAACTAAGAATCTGGAGATATACCTGATATATGTTGTATATGCTTCATTAACAAAGCCATGGGAAAAGAAACAATGTACTAAACAACTGCCTTGCCTCGTCGGTCTGTGGTGCCAAGTTCCAGTTCCAGTAGGCCACCTTGCCGAACCTCAGTGAGGAGATACTGGTAGGATTGTTAGGACATCCCCAAAAATGAAGTGCTGCCAACTGGGTTCAACTGGGTCTCAAAATGTCTTAAATCTTGACATATCTTGACCCAAGCCCTACCGGGTGTTTGTCACAGATTCCGAGGTCAGTAGCATCCTGGTTTCAACATATTCCCAAACAAATTGGTATCTGAGATCATCCCAGTTTCACTCATGGAAACAAATGCCATGTTTGAAACATGGAAACCAACGTCAAATAACATGGATTCATCATTGGTTTATCATGCTTAATTCATGTTTATCATATTTTATCATTGTTTCAATTCAATGGAAACCAGGACATCAAACAATCTTCTCTTGGTTCCCAGTGGTCCCTCATTCTGGATGACGTCCCAGCTGCGTGCTGGTCTTCTTTAAACCATCGATCATCCGTTGTGTCTCTGCGGCCACGGTTTGTCCATCCTGTGCGTGGGAAATAGATGGGTCATCTCCCAGACCAACGTTGTAAAACAATGTGGTTGGATGGTTGTAGGGATATCAACCTACTATATATCAACCTACTATATATATATATATCAATAATTATATATATACATATAATATATATATATATATACATAATATATATATATATATATACATAATATATATATATATATATATCAACCACCAAACCGACATGAGAATCATGTCTCAAGGCTCGGTGGCTCAAAAGGGACATTGTGGCAACACCAGAGAGCCACTGGGATGGCATGAAGACAGGGTTGACTTAAGCACCTGACATGGCAGTGTGTCAAAACCTTGTACCCCTGGTGAACATCAAAATAGCTGGTAAATGGATGTTCATCCCACTAAAAATGGTATTAATAGGTATTGATCCATACCCACATGAGGTTTTCAATGCCAGACTAGAAACAAGGCGCTGCCAGTACTCTACTGAGCAACCCTTGAAATCCTTGAAACTTCACTGCTGGTGCAACAATGTTGAACATTTTGAGTATGTCTGAACTTCGGGTGGAACTCCAAAATCACAGGTAGCCCCTGTTCCGATCAAGTAGCGAGAGACTTTGCTTTCTGCTGCCAAAGGAAAAGCATTCAGTCAATTTTTTGAAGCATTTATATAAACACATCGTTCCGGCATCTTACGGCCATGGCTGCAATACTGAAAGAACCGCTTCACAGATGCGATTAAAAACAAGCTGGTGGATGAAGGGCCAGAGCTGCTGAGAAGGATGCCCATGGAGCAGCGTTGGCAGACACTCAATCTGGGACTGCAGCCCTCTTCCATCGCTGCATACACATCACATCACATCACCACATTTTTCTCCATGATCATCCGGATTTCATGAGATCTCTGCCTGGTGGAGGCCACATCTTGCCCAGTCGTCTTCGCCAGCTTCAGCCTCTCAGTGGACACTTTGGGAAGAAGAAGCCTGGTGAGGTTGGCTGCCTTGTCATGCCTTTCCAATCTGCCCAATCTGCTATGTATACTTCCTGAACTTCAGACTGCATCCAGAAATATGCCACTTCAATCCACTTCAGCCGGTCATCCTCATGGCGGCTGCATCCCAGTTTCGTGTGTCCATCGCACAATGTGTCCTGTAACAAGCAACACACCTCGTTCAGGCCGAGAAAGGCGTTCTGATCCATTCGTCCCCACCATACAGTCGACAGCCTAATGATTCCACATGATTAGATCGAAGCAGTGAATCCGGTCAAGACTGTCAAGACCACAGGCTTTCAACTGCGGATTTCCTGAGATCAGGGTGCACAAGTTTGCGCACAAGTGCCATGGACATTGGCTGCTGATGCAAGCCCAAGCCAAAGATGCTCCAACATGCGGAAATCAACCCAAATCATCCCAAATCCAATTCTGTTTGCCTCCCACATGAGCCCACATGTCCTAAATGAATCTAAATGAACCATCAAAACCCCGGCAAGTCAGCAAAAAAACATAAACACACCTCCAAAAACGGAAAAAATCACATATAATTTACATAATATCATCAAAAATCTTCATAAATCAGGTAAGTTTCAAGTCCTCCTTGTCGTACTTGTTGCCATCCAATCCCTTCCAAGGCTCCAACCAATGCATCCGCGGATCCACCGGTCCACCAGACTCCGAGGGGCCAGTGGGTGGAGCCGGTGGCCCGTTGGGCCCCAGGCGTTTCACCAACTCGGGTGGCATGCGGGTGCCTGGCGACCCTGGCGACCCCCCATGGCCAATGGCCAATGGATGGCCAATGGGTGTCTGTTTTGTCGTGTTTTTTCTGGAAATCACCAGAATCACTCGAATTCATATTCAGCGTTTCGGCGGTTTTTTGATGGCATTGACGGAAAAAACGCCTATATAGATTGTTCTTTTCTTGAGAAACAGGTTTGTAGCTCTCCAAACATTATAAAATCTTGTAGACATTAATGAAGATGTGGGAGCATCTTTTGTAGAAATGGACTGTCAGGTTCCCGGATCCCAACAGATTCTTTTCAAGTCATTTTGTGACTCCTGGCGCCTGAGTCTTTGATGACTTTGGCGATCAAGGACATGGCATCTTGGTCATTGTCCTCGCCAGGATGGATTCCAACGACAGCAGGGAATCCAGCACTTCTTTATACTAAGGATGCCTGCAACATCATCCTTCACGTTCAAGGAGCAGGAAAGGAAACAAATTCAAGACTAAGGATCACAAATAAGGTTGATCTGGCTAGCAAAGGATTGAACTGCACTGTAGACGAATCAATGCATGTCAAGCAACGTTCGAAGGCTCTGTCCGCACTGACAGTCTCTCAAATTAACATATTAGGATTTAGGACCCCCAAACTAAGTGGCTCAACGCTAAGAACGACCAAATACCATCAAATACCAATAGCATGTGTGGGTGGGGCAATCCACCCGTCTAATTAGTGATGTCTTGACATTTATTTATTCTGTATACACAGAAATCACTCAATGTCCCATCCCCCATCCCAAAATGTGGGTCCAAAAATAGGAACAACATGGAACAACTTATGTTCAATGGATTGGTTTAAGGGAAAATTTGCAGGAAACCATGGATTTCCCCATGGAAAATCATGGGGCTTTCCGGTTCCAATTTTCCCTAACAAACCAATCCATTGATATATTCAAGACATTGCCAGGGCTCGGTCAGGATGGACACGGCCACACCTTTGTTGTTGCGCCCTGTGCGCCCAATGCGATGCACATAATCTTCCGCCGAGCGCGGCATGTCGTAGTTCACCACCAGATTCACGTCCTGCGCCGGGCAACTAACGGATATGGATTGATCATGGGTCCAAAAGTAAGTTTGATATGGATAATGACAAGCATAATTATCATAATTATATAGAACATTGTGAATGTATCAATGTATCATGTGAATATCCTACATGTTCGCCCAAAAAAAGGGGTTTCACACTTTACATCATTTTACCATATTTTATCCCATATTAGAAGAATCAACACATCGTGAAAATGGGATCATGACCAGCCATGGCCAGCCTTCACATCGATGCCACGACCCGCCACATCGGTTGCAAGCAGCACCTGAGCTTCGGATCTTCGGAGAGGGGAGACGACCACCAAACGACCGATATTAGTCTCAACAGTCTCAACTTCTCAACATATATTTACTGTTATAATTAGTTATAATTATTTATAATTAGTTATAATTAGTTATCATTATTTAATAATGCTCTAAATCCAGAAGTCTCACGAAGTCTTGCCCCCCCAAAAAAGTCTGGAATTGAACAGAACCATTTTTGACCAACGGACAAAAACAAGTATCAGTGAGCGGACTTGGGGGACACGCTCTGACCCTCTAGCAACAGAGTGGATTCATGTGGGGTTGTATAAAAACCCGGCCTCTTTTTAAATGGCCCAAAATCACGTACATGTACAAGCTTGTTATCATTTTTTTTACTCTTATCGTTTTCTGGGCCGGCAATGCATTGGCAGTGTTAAGGTGCAAGCCAAAATGACATGCCCACCATGTTAAACCACATTAAACCCATAAGAGGTTTCATGTCCACAGGAAGGTTTTTATGGTTGCAGCCCCATCACATCAACCACTGATGATAGGCTGCTGCACCTGGATGGCTCCAGAGCGGAAGTGTTGCAGAGCCGCCTCGCGGTCCCGTTGACTGCGATCTCCATGGATGGCATCGACAGACAGCGGCAGGCGGCCTGTGGACAAATGCCACGGCATTATTTCTGGCCAGTAAAAAAACATGTTGAAGCCATGGAAAAATGGAAAATTATGGAAAATTGCATGTTATCCATGACAAATTGATTAGAGCACATCATAAAAGAATACATCGTACATCATCACATATCATCACATATCATTACATATCATCATGATATATTATCATGATATATCATCATGATATATCATCATATATCATCATATATCATCAACTTATTATATACCATCATATATCATATCATCAACTATTCACATTATACATATGATTACATATGCAAGTATGTACACAATTACAGAGCCATCCCACAGCCTCTGAGGCTTCGTTCCAGCTGTTGGCAGCCCCTCTTCGTGGCCACGAAGACGATGGCTCGAACCGAACGTCGCCCGCGCCTTGGCGCCATGGAAAATGGTCAGTTTATAGACAATTTAACCAATTAAACATGACTAACCATGGTGATTGTCCAAAGCTCTATATATATATATCATAGATTACCATAGGGTATAATTAATAGTATAATGTTAATTGATGACTAGGAAATAGCTGCGGGACAGCCCAACTTACTGATTTTTGCAACTGGGAAATTTTAGGCTACTCTATGTTCAAACAACCCCATATCTGTCGAGAGGACCAGCCTTAGAAAACATGGCAAAACCACCCATTGGAGTGACGCAAGAATTCTTCATGGACAGCTTCAAATCTGAAAGCAATTTACAGCCTGTAGATGCCTGTAGTACCTTTAGCAAGTCGATGGTCTGCGCATCCCATCGTTGTGACAAGTAGCAACAGGGCCGCCAAAGCTGAAGGTTTCTCTCCATCGTCTCGCAAAATCATGACATCCTCACAAAGGCCATACGCGCGAGGGTGCCTCTCTGATGGGATTCATGAGCAGTGTCAAAAACCGATTGAGGTAGCGTAATAATATGTTGTGAATGGGATTCCCGGTTCATGGGTTATCAAATCCCCATTAATATTTATCATCATATCATATATAATATATACGTACAGTATTATGTAGTATGTTCCCCTATATATAATATCGTATGAACCAACTGTTTTTTTTTGTATGATAGGAGGGTTATGACAGGGTTATGCCACGCATTCCACCGTAGCTATGTCGGTAGTGCCGTGCACTCGCCTACGGTGGTATTGACAGAAGACAAGGCCTCTGTGATCAGAAGCGTGATGATATTGTCTAATAATAAGGATTGTGATGATGATGATGATGATGATGATGATGATGATGGAGGATGATGACGATGACCATGACCATGACGACTGATTCCATTGCTGTGATCCTTGCCTGTCCTGCGCCACGTTTGGATTGGCGCTCAAAGATCCCATGGCCCCAACGCGAACCTGTGGCACTTTCCAAGTGGACCGAGGTCAGAAACGCCAAGACAACTTCCGCAAAAAAAGTGCCCAACATCCAAGAACCAGCCCCCCAAACTGCATCTTCTACTCATTTTCAAGTTTTCCGATGTTTTCCGGATATGTCCAATCTTCATCAATCTTCAGCTTTCCCAAACCTCCAAGTTCTTTCCTCAGCTCCACCTCCCCACCGCTGGGATCACCTCCACCGGGTCCTTCAGCACCTCCGAGGAGAAGCTCTGCACCGCTACCGGCCACGTGGCCGAGAAGAGCAACGTCTGCCGTGACGGCGATGCGGCCTCGGTGGAGTCATGGTTTGGGTGATCCATGGTGATCCCAAATGCACTATGTAGAAAAACAAGAATTGTTTTTAGGTTTTTTTAGAAGATGTCAAATCTTTGGATTGGAAGATGATGTCAACACATAATTCACATCCGCTGTTTGGAAGATGTTGAAGATTTATATTACCAGCATCTTGAGTGGGTAGATGATGGTAGATGATTCTTTTAGGAACGAAGAGCTGTCACCAGGGGACGAAACATGAAAAATCCCCAGCGCCGGTGCCTGCGCCAAGATCAGTCGCACCTGGGCTTCGAAGCCTTCGCCCAGCAGCCGATCCGCTTCATCCAACACCAGCGCCCGCAGCTGGGTCAAGGTCAGCACTGGAGGGTCTTCCTGGTAACCATAGTGCTACCCCTAAATGGATGATTTATAGCGGACAACTTATGAAAATGGATTTGGAGGTACCCCCCTTTAAAAGGAAACCTCCAAACACACACATGACCAAAATTCAGACCTTCAAATTCCGCCCGGTCAAGGATCTCTTTGAGCTGATGGCATTCAATGTCTCCCAAAAATCCCAGACCTATCAAAGCCTCACTTTCCCCAAGCGCCAGGTGGTCCTCCAAGAATTCCAGCAACCTCCCAGGCGTGGCGGCCAGGATGGTCGGCTTCTTGCGCAGCCCTGCAAGCTGCTGCTGTTTGGAGCCACCTCCATAGATCACTTCCAGCTCCAATGCGTCCCCCGCGCGGCAAAAACGTTCAGACTGGGCCGGGGGGACCAGGCTGTCAGGACAGGTCCCAAAACAATGTGGGCGAGCAGCTGGAAATGTGGGTTCATAGTGCAAAATGCCACTTTCTTGGACAAGTATGGAAAAGTAGGCTACCTTCAAAATAGCTAGATCTCAGGAAATAGGCGGAGCTCTGCAATCAACTTCAATCAAATTTTCACAAATTCATTCTTGAATCTTCCCCTCTAAACACTCGCACTCGCACTGATTCCATGCACCAAGCCACGGATTTTTGTATCTGTGCCACCAGCCTTGGTGATGCTGTGTCTGAACTGCTGACATGACAAAGAGATGTGCAACCATGTGCAACCTAATGTCTGTTATGGCACACCAAGCAGTTCTTGAGGGAAAGGACATTTCACACCTATTTACTCAAGATGAGCGCTTAGCTTTCTTTCAACCCTCCCAACATCTCCCAACCGTATGGACTGCCGAAAACTATCGAAAACTTCTGGCCTGATCACGAATCATTAAAAAGAACAATCGCCCCATGTGACTTTGCACAAACTCTTGGATGATTCCCAGCTCGAAGAAATTGAAGCCATCACACATTTCAGCATGCATCGTTGATCGTTGGATGAGTAAATGCAAGACTGAATTCTTGTAAAATTTGTAAACCGTAAAATTCTCTGCTTGATGTCTAAATCTCATGACCAAATGAAACCAAGAAACTCTCGTGTAGGCCCCAAGATCAGCATCCATGGCCACTGCCTACCCCTGGTTGGCCCAGTGGCACGCAATAGCCGACCTGAAAAAGACTGACGGGGCCCTGTCAACCATCAGTTTGGAAAGATCGGGTAACATCTGAAGCAAATCCATCTACTGTCACCCAAAAAAAAAAACTTCTTCGCACGCTGCGGGATGGACACCTGCGACTGGGTCTATGTGCAACCTACGGAATCCCTGGACCATTTAGTCCGTGCCCTGCATGACACCATTCAACCATCCCATGCTGTGATTGATGCCAGACAGCAAGTACTCACCCATTCTGTTTCTGAGTCCACCATGCAACGGATCCGTTTTGCACCAGCAACAAACCCAAGTCACATTTTTCCATATTTTTCGTAATTAAGTGAGTAGGCACTAGCTATGAACATGACCGATATATGGGTGTGGGTCAAAGTTAAATTGATCAATGAAACGGTCAACAAATAACTCTTTCATTTCAACACTTGAATGGGGCCCAGGTGCCAAACCGTTGGTGTCAATTGACCAGGAATCCATCAGGAATTCTGTTGATTTTATCCCATTAATAATCCAATTAATCCTACCTGTATATATATATATACGTATATATGTATATAATCATAAATTAGATATATAAATATGATGTTATATATATGTATACAGTATACACATAATCATACTTAATTACATAATTATGCATATTAAATAATCCCCTTTGGATCAATTCCTCCCCACGTGGGCCACTGTCTGCCACGCTGCTAAAGCAGGGCAGTAGATATGCCAAGGTCTTCCCACTGCCAGTGGCAGAGATTCCTGTCCCATGGCGCATGGGGTGAACAGGTGAACGCGTCCAAAATGTTCAAACACACTCAATTTTTTGTTGATCATCGGATTGATCATCAGATCATGAATAATTGTTCATCAATCCATTCCGTTTTTTCGGCCAGGTGGTCGCCCAAGAATGTTTTTGTTTGTTTAATTTCGGGAATGTCCTCCTGGATGAACCCCTGAGCATCGGCACCTATAAGGTCCCTTCCAGCAGCAATGATCGGCATCGAGAAGGCTTGGATGGGCGTTGGCTTCTCAAAGCCTGCGTGCCAGTGGCCAAGGGATGATCCTGGATGGGCTTCCAGGCCGAAGAATGCTTGGAATGAGAGATGAGTGACTTGGCTGCTTAGGATTCCAGGATGTTGTTAGGAGGTTCTTTTGTTTCTTGAAACCTTCAAAGAAACCTTCAGAGAGCCCCATGTCCATCTGGCACTGATCATGATTCTGATCCAGCGGCCCATCTCCAGCAAGGGCTCCATGAGCTTACTGTGCAATACCTCAGCATAATCATCCCTGGAGCCTTAGCTCAAATAAAGGGATATCAACCCATGTATCATATATCAGATACATTCATATACTATCATCTAGCAATTTATGTAATATATATAATATGAATAAGTAAACACTAATTATAGACCGAGGAAGATGTTCTGATACTGAATCATGCCGACCCATAGTAATACTTAGTAAATATGACGGCACCAGTATCCTTTTGCATTGGATCCATGTAGGATCCATGTAGGATGTATCAAAACTGCTTGGGATTTCCAGACGTCGATTACACTAAGGGTCAATGAAACTTGCAATGTCTGACCCTCTGGTAATGTAATTTAACAATAGCATACAATAGCTGTTTAAAGGCACCATTTTAAACAGTCAATCATCTAGAAACGGGCCAGCGGCCATTTTCCATAGCTATATCATGCTATATCAACACTTTCCCATAAATTACCGGGAAAATGTGTCGTTTGTTGACAAGTTGCCATCGAAGCATCCTTGAAAGTTTCCAAGGCAGAAGGAATTGGCGCACGGCTGTCCTGTCGAGGCGGCTGCCATCGAACCATCCCCAAAATCCCGTGCTTTATCATCACTTTCCCATCAAAATGGCCATAACATATCATTAAATGCCATAAATTGGGTCAATGATTCAATGATCATCATCAGCATTTTAAGACAGACCCATATGTTTGAGAAATCATGAGCAACCAGCTTATGCCCTACACCCGAATTGCTATTTTGGCAAAATACATTGATTAAAAGGATCCAAGTTGAAGCCGAAAAAGGTCGAACAAGAATAAGTCACATGTTGAGACTGATTGATGGTTGAGAATCAGAAGTAAAGGGTGGACAGCAATGGGATGCAATGGGTATAGCATGGTATAGCGGTCAAGTAACTTGGGTACTCCGAAGGTTGAACGATTTCACAAAGCACATCAAAGCACCAAGAATGGCCAACATCCATCCACTGGTAATCCGATCCTGACGCAACTTCACTGCTGGTGCTTGAGGAATTGGTTCAGGCGCCCTGGTGGTGTGGAACCAGAATTGATGCCCTCGAGGGTTGTGACATGTAGGTAGGGATGACATGTCAACCAGGACACCAGGACAATGGCAGTGGCATGGCTTTCCTTTTCCCTCTGCAGGTGGCACGATCTTTTTCAGCCTGCCTAATTTTCTTTGTACTGAGTTTTCACACACTACATTTGATCACATATATCATCCGCTTGTCTCCATATATTGACGAACGAAAAACAAACATCACATTTTTCAAGTAACGCAATTCAGAATACGCCCTCCGTATCCGTCCAAATGCATCCATCTCATGGTTCTCATGCTGAGGGCCCTGGCGGCGGATCTTTGGGCTCCGGGTCCGTGGGAATTTCGGTCTCAGCGGCTGAAGGAGCCTCAGTGGGACTGAGAGACCTGGGTTCTCCATGGTTAATTATGGATGTTATATTGTCTTATCTGTTCATTCAATTTTTATGGTGATTCTGGAACAGTTGAACAGTCCAATTTATTTTGGGCGGTCCAATAATTTCATCATCCGTAATTACCCACCACACCAATAAGTGGCAACATCTCTAGATATTTACAAATTGATAAGGGAATACTTAGACAAAACGTACAAATGCGGGTGGGTTCACAATCATTCACCCAATCACACAAAATTCTTGGACTCGGAATTTACTGGCTGGTTTGAAACCTTTTGAACTCCCATATAGCTGCAGCGCATGCAATCCTGTGACATCCTTTTGTGACATTTCGTTGCACATTTTGCAGCGCCAGTATGCGCCAGTGTACACACATGTTGTTTCAACAACATGATTCAATATGTTTCAATATGTATGAAAGAAAACGGTAGTTTCATCAAGTGTCATCCAGCAACTACTGTGGTCATCATGTTTCGTCTGGGATTGTCAGCGATTCTCATGACATGACCCAAGCTGCTGAAGCTGCCGATTCTTTTGCAATGCAACGCATAGAGTAATTATCTGAATGTCCAAGATTGTCCAAGTGTAATGTACAAATCTGGATCTATAAGGATCGTTTCGTTGTGCTCAACTGCACCGCTTCAGGTGCAGGGCCCCAATGCCATCCAATGCCCAGGGTGTTTTGGGCGATGTGCGATGTCCTGGGCAGAGAGTATGGCAGAGCCCTTCTATTGCAGAAGCTGGTGCAGTGACATGTAGATGCAAATGACATCAACATCTGCATGTGCAATCATGTGATGTGTAATCATGTTGAATCCATGAATAGATAGTCATAGAATGTCATAGATAGCAACATATAGCAAAATACTGTGACATGGTTGTTCTTCTCGATAAGTCTATAAGTCCTACCTTCCACACAGCCTCACATTGCATGGACGCCTTGTGCTGGGGCCCCTCACTCCCATTAAGCGACGGTGGTGGTGACGGTGGTGGTGGCAGTGATGGTCACCGTGGCCGTGGCGGTGCTGGTCACCGTGGCCGTGGTGTTGTCGTCATTCGAGGTCACGAGGTCGTCGCTGTCGCTGCTGCATCCCTGCAGAAAAAGGGAAGCCGTCCATGCCAAGCAAATCACCGCAAAGGCTCGGAAGAACTGCATGGCGACTAAAGTGACTAAAGTCTCCAAATGATATGTTTGGGGCTGGGGCCTCCGGTCTTTGTCTCTCTTGAGCCACGAAAGAAACACGGATCCAGCAGATGTTGGACCCAACCTGTCGGCACGGAAAATTGCTCTGAAGGAATGATCTTGCGATGTTTTGGATGTCCATCGGACGCAACCAATTGAATCATATTTGAATTCGGATCATTGGCAGCTTCCCCCATTATTCGGCCCTTTTCACTGATCTCACTGATCTCCCATCTTTTAAAAACCCACGGACTCAATCACCAAGGCACGCTCGAGCCCTCGGTGCATGGCTTTCGCTCCTCCTGCCCTGCCACATCACGCAAGTACCTTGAGTCCCAAAGTTGGGGGTGCAACATTTAAGGCCACGATTTATTCAAATTGTGGACATGTCCACTTGGATATCTGAAATGCCCCATCTTTGATCATCAGTTTCCCTACCAAATGGTAATTGGGGGATCCCAAATTCTGAAGATACTTGGATGACAACGGATGACATACGTGGCGCTGGAACTGGCATTGGCTCTGAAGAGGACAATCAACTCTTGTTTCTGCCCTGCGGGGAAGCTCAGACACCACTGAAAAAGATCCGTCAGAAGACACCACTGAAAAGAATCGCTGGCACATCAAGTGAACACAAAAATCACAAAAAACCTGGTTCAAACTGAATACAGTAGGTGGCACGTGATGGACCGTGCTGCCATGATGGCAAAGAACCAAAAAGAACCAATATCAAAATCACATACAATCACTCAAACTGAAAGTATATCTGAAACCATCTGAGAGTTGGCCCAAAATCTGAAATCTGACAGTCTTCATTCCATCCGCCCCAAACCCACCATGGCCCCACCATCCAATGCAACGCATGCAACGCACCTCTCAGTCTCCAGTAGCTCCACCGGTTGATACCCAGCATGTTGCAGGTCGGCAAAGGACACATGGCCTCCGTGGATTGTTTGGGATGGCCCAGCTGGAGATGGGCCCCATCTGGGCCCCTTAAATAAGTGCAAAGATTCCCCGAAATCATGGAAGCCTCTAGACTCTGGCACAGCTAATACATGCTAATACTGTCTATTTCTCTATTTCTGGTGATTAAGTTGTACTGATGAAGCCTGCTTCTTCCACAAACGGAACAATGGCACTGAATGAATGGCAAGTGTCCTACAGCCTATCACGCCACGCACTTCGAAAATGGAATGCTGACTGGTTCGGGAAACCAGTCAGCCAAGAATAGTCAAGGAGTTTTGGCTGGTTTCTAGTGAAACTTTACACACACACAACATGCTCTATACATGCTCTATACATGCTCTTAATGTTGCCAGGTGTCCTTGAGTTTCATTCGGCTCCAAGCGAGCTTTCTTGGCATTTCCTGCAACGTGGGAGACCAGGGAATCGGTTGCCATCAGCTTCGTAAATTAAACCATGGATCAAAACGGGATTACCGTTTCTCTGCGAATTAACGAATTGTAAATTGAGGAGCAACATGGGTCAACATTTTTCCTTTCGCAGTCTATACCGTTTGAACATAAGCGGAGAAATCCATGCCTTAAAACACTTGATCGGTCAGGACAACAATATGATACATCCAGTCAAATCGAACTGTAATGCCTGAACTCACCTTCGGATACCTTCATAATATTCTCCTATATAATGATCATTATGTTGCAGCTCAATGACACAATGATGATGTTGGTACGTACCCTCTGGTAATTTAATATAGCTATGGACAATCACCATTTTTAGTGGGTAAATCATCTGTAAATGGCAATTTTCCATAGCTAGGTTAATTTCCTGGGCACCTTGTCCATCCTCACCTTCGCTATCAGAGCTGTCCGCTCCTGGACTGGAAACGGTCAATAACTTATCTATAATGTGCATCCCGTTTAGTATGTGGACATGTGGTTAATAACCACGGCTGTAGGCCAGTTGCAGGTGCGATAAACCCATAAATACGCTGCAAGTATATCATATGGGCCATATGGGCTATCAACCACTTACCAGTTGAGATGAAGGTGCATGTACCAGGGATATGTCATCCTCACCAATGCATGCGATTTTTTTTTACATATTATTATTATTATTATATATATAGTATACGTACAACATCGTAAAACTAACTAGATCACATTTTGAGATTGTCACCCATGACTTACCAATTAGATCCAATTAGATCAATTAGGAACCAATTATATAACTCACTGTTCCTGACATCAAATGTCCATATATGTCCATCAAAAGCAAAACATACAGACACTTCCCGTCGTTTCATCCCCATCTGTTCATCATCACATCCCAGCCCGCCTATCAGACTCAAGGGATCCTGCAGCATCCATTTGAATTTCCCCACGGATGCGCACCCTTGGTGTTGTGGACCTTGAGACTGGCCCCTGGCTGCACCTTTTGTTTCGGATTGATTGCTGCTGAACAGGCTCTGGAACTTGTTCCTCTGAGGCATGCAGCACCACTTGTTGTCCCATCCTTTGTTCGGTACCAAGACTCGAGTTGCGAGAATTGTGTCTCTTGTGTTTTCTGTTGAACCATTAAACTTCATTAAACAGTGCCCAAATCAACTTCTGTTTGATGTTTCTACTAGCCGCTTCAATGGGAATTCTCATGACGGACCATGGGATTCCTAGCAACCAGCCAGAAACAAACCCTCGCTGCCCTGGCTTTGGAAACTGCTCGTGCCAAACTCGTCTGACTCAAAAGCCCCAAATTCCCCTAAGACCGCCTTGAAGCTTACGCGCAACCAAAGCCGGATCAAACATTGGGTTCCTGGTTCCGTGCAGCCTACACTCTACACAGCAACATCCAACTTCCACCCTGCACAGGGGAGGCGGCGCACCGCAGAGATTCCAGGAAGATTTCCCAGCAGGCCACAGCCCCAGTTCCTTGCTTGATCCAGGCTTGGATATATTAGTGATATATTTGGAACATTTTAGAACATTGTATCTGGTTGGTGGTATACCTACCCCTCTGAAAAATATGAAAGTCACTTGGGCTGATTATTCCCAATATATGGAACCATATGGAAAAATAAAAGCCATGTTCCAAACCACCAACCAGGTATTATCCAACGCTGCACCCGACATTGGCGAAAAAAAATACACAGCCGCAGTATGATCCTTATAGATCCTGGATTAGCCAAGATGCGGATCTTCCTGACTGTCAAGGTCCTGGTCGATAAAAAACGCCAGTTTTCCGTGTGCAGAGGTGTAGAGTACAATAAATTAGCATAAATGATCAGCTACCAGTAAAAAAATGATAGATTGAACATATGAGACATATCATGGAGTAATTTTCCCTGCTGGATTTCCTTCTCAAGATATTCAGCACTTCAGCCAAGAAGCCACAACCCCCATTGATATCCCTACAAACTCTCCCGTCCTGCTGCTGTGCAGGTGGTACTGGCACTGGTGCGGGAGCAGGCACTGGTGCGGGAGCAGGTGCTGGTGCGGGAGCAGGCGCCGGTGCCGGAGCAGGAGTCACTTCCGGCAGGACTGGTGCAGGTGCTGGTGCTGGTGCTGGCGTCGGAGCTACCTGCGTTTGCTTCGGAGAGTTGGAAAGCTTGGTGCAACTGATGGTCCTTTCTTGTCTTTATGCTACTTCTAATTATGGATCAAGCAGAATACATGATCTCAACCATCTACAATTTTAGGACTGCTTTGAAAATGAAAGAGCTGGGTGGACTAAGGACCATGTCCGAGCGAACCAATGTTTCTTGGGGGGCCTTTTGAGCATGTCCAGCGCCTGGTTGACTTGCAGAGGTTTCTCTACAATCCTTACTTGGATGGCGTTCATTCTGGATTTGAATGAGCATCTTGGACAACCACAAAAAATATCAAACAATGACATCATCCAATCTGTCCGTGGCCACCTTCCAATCCCCAGAAAATAAGCGTACCTGGGGTGTGACGGATGACCTTAGATGTCAGGGAGGTTAAAAAACATGCGTATCAATACGAGCCGCCAAAACACACCCTGGTGGAATGTGCTGGGTCTGTTCATGATCTGTTCATGAACTCAGGACCATTTTAGGATATTTAGGGGTATCATGGGGTATCTAAACTAATTGAGGGAGGGGACTACTCACAACCTAAATATTATCCTCTCCTGGCGACATAGTTCGCATCTTGCGGCTGAACCCTCTCCGCAAAGCCCTGGTTTCAACATCATGTCCAGTATTGAATCTCTATGCTTCAACAGCGGAATGGAGCTCCGCAAATCTCTAACGAACAAGATCTATGCAACTCAATCAACTAATGAGCAAAAGGCAACTTCTTCAACCATGACCAAACATCTATAAACCTTGGACCAGGTCGTGATCGCCACTGGGGCACCTGACACTCCCCCTCTCTGCCAGGTGTTGTAGGGCGTATTTGACAAGCATTCCTCTGAGGTGCGGAGGTCAGGCGAAAAAATGGGCATGGCCAGAAAGGGAAGGCGATAGAGTTGCCAGAATAAAGTGCATTATATATAGTATAGTATATAATATTTACGTATATATAATATTAATGAATATTATATATCGTGGAGGGGAGAAAGATGAAGAAAGCATAGCATCATTGGAATCCCCATCAAGAATTGTTTAGAGTTGGAGTTCACAAAAGAAGACTTGCAAAAACAAGTAAAAGTAATTAGACGGTAAATGAACTGGATGAACGCATGTGTCAGATGTCCATGTAGGTTTGTTTCATGAGAGTTTCAAAAGTGTCCTTCCAGTGTTTTCCATCAACACCACTTCCCCTAAAAAAGCAAGCGATCGCTGCGATCGCGCACCGATTCGGTCAAGGAAGCCAAACGCCAGCAAGGTCCTGCGCTTTGCGCATGGTCTGAAAAAGGGGGCACCCAATGATCTCCAGGGTGATCACCATTTTCCAAATGACAATTTTCTGGATAAATCCGCCCACACCGCTTTGGCGGTGAAGGCGTGCTTATTGGGGGGCAACAGCAACACTAAATGCTCAATGACATTTGTTAATATAGCAGTCGCTATATCAGCTTTAGCTGGGGGGGGGGGGCCAAAAACGGTTTCGCACCGAGACCAGACCCCAAAAACGGTTTCGCACCGAGACCAGAATACGGTGTGTTTTCGACATTTTTCGAGGATTTTTGGGTGTCTGAGCGCAAGAGGGTATTGAAATGGAATTTTGGGTCATTTTGGTAGCTTTCCGGCAATGGAAAAACGGCCAAAAATGAAAAAACATTGTACATAGCAAGATTTTGCAGGGTTTTTGGATGCCAGAGCATTGAAAACACTGCAAAAACAAGTGTTTTGGACTGACGTTATAGCAAAAAACGTGTAAATTACCGTATGCTTGACTGGAAACATTACAAAAACACTGTCAAAAGCAATGTTTTGGAAGGATTTACTGCCTTTATGGCAAAAAACGTGTAAATTACCGTCTGTTTGACTGGAAACATTGGAAAAACACTGTCAAAAACAATGTTTTGGAAGGATTTCTTATATATATGTTGGAGTTGGCTACCGGCATTGGAACATGGAAAAATTGAAGAAAACACTGTAAATAGCGGTATTTTCAACGGTTGGGGAGATAAGGGAATTGGATGCATTGTCGAACATGATGTTTTCGACCGGTTTTATGGCGACAAAAGTGTAAAGTACCGTGCTTTGAAGGAAACCATTGCAAAAACATGGAAACACATTCAAAGAACACGGGATTTGGGGGACTATCTAGGCGTCGTTGTCTAGCTATTTGAAATTCCGCAGCTTGGAGAGCCTCCAAGGGAGGGAAAAGTGAAAATTCCATAGCTTGGGAAGCTGTCACGGCGGGGAAAAGTGAAAATTCCCTAGCTTGGGAAGCCCCCACGGGGGGGAAAAGTGAAAATTCCCTAGCTTGGGGAGCCCCCACGGGGGGGAAAAGTGAAAATTCCCTAGCTTGGGGAGCCCCCACGGGGTGGAAAAGTGAAAATTCCCTAGCTTGGGGAGCCCCCACGGGGGGAAAAGTGAAAATTCCCTAGCTTGGGGAGCCCCCACGGGGGGGGGAAGTGAAACTTCTTAGCTTGGGGAGCCCCCACGGGGGAAAATCACCCTTAGCCCCTCTCACGGACCGAAATAAACCTGCGGTGTGGGCGGCCACCCCACGCGAAGCGGGGTGAATAAACCTTGACAACTCATTTCTCTTCAAACGTTGCCTTTCGACTGTTTAACCAATATTTTACATTATCTGACCACAAAACAGAGTTCAAAGCCCCAAACACGAATCAAACACGGGGAAATGCACGGCCCCGACAATGGGAAAACACGGCCCCATGTTTCTTGATGACAAGCTGCGACGTTGCCAACACGGCCATCCCATCCACCATCCTTGTCCCATGACATGTTGCTGTGCAATCACAATGCCAGCACAAGTGGAGACCTTCTCACACCTTGCAGCGGAATTGTAGCGACCAGGCACTGATCGACTTTCTACAAGACCTAGGACTGGATTTGATATGACTCACTCATGTAGTTGTGACGCGTCAAGAAAATTGCCATGATAGATATCGATTAAAATTGATTAAATCAAATGGCAACTGAACTGATGCACCAAACCAAGTTGGAGGTGTGAGCATCCCATAGCATCCCTTTAAAACCATTTTAAAACCATGTTCTAATTGATTTCTGGGTTTTCTTGAACCGGCATGGCTTTGTCCAAAAAAAAATAACGTATCCCCCAAATCTGAGTTATCAGCGAATTCCAGATCAACCACTTGGGACTTTGAGATCTTTGAGGATCTTTGAGGTATCCTCCAGCCATCCAATAATGTAGAATACCTGTTATTTTCCGCATTATTTGATGGTCCCGTAAATTAGGAGTTTCACATACCTTTTCGCACAAACAATCCATCATTCATGAACTAAGTCCCATCTTTGATTGATAAATCCAATCTCTTAGCAAGTAAACCATGCTAAAACCCAATTTCGATGGGGACACAAATCACACCCAAATCATCCCAAATCATTGACCCTTCTGCTCTGTCAAGGTGATACTGACATCTGAGGACCCTTCTCAGCTTTGCATGCCTCCACTGCAAAACTTCCTGGTGCTTCGGTTGCCACAAAGTTTGTCAACAAAAAGCCTCTGGAACAAGATGGAACAAGGATTTCACATAGAAAATAGACAGAAATCTTATAGAGATTGATGATGGCCGACTCGAACTGTTTTATGATCGTCGATATCAAAACCGCCGTCCAAACAAACACAATATAATATATATATAATATATATATATAATATATATAATATATATATATAATATATATATATAATATATATATAATATTATATATATATATTATATATTTATATATATATAATATATGTCAATATATGCTGTGTTGGTTGAAACATGTTGATAGACCTTCAAGGAGAATTGCAGCGTTTGCTTAGATGTTCTTTGAATTTCTTAGATGCATCGGCTGCGGTGGCAATCGTCGGCTGGCATGTCTGTTCTGGCATGATCTGACAATCATCCATTGCTCCAAGCAGTGTCAAAGTCATCCCTTGCTCAAACCAGTGTCAAAGCATCAGCCAAAGTCGAACTGCTGTAAACGTTCAACCCCAAATCAAGAAACCATTTGGATCCACAAGTCATCATTAGTTTGCTTCGGTTGAGCCACCCATGTTCGGAGAGAATAAGCTGGACCAGGCCCGCCTTGGAGCTCATAGCCCTCCGCAAGCCCCACAGCACCGTGGCCAGGGTAGCAGTTTCTCCCAACGTATTCCGACCAATCTGGCAGCGACATGGTATTGAGTCCATCCAGAATCCACTGATACCCAAGAGAAACAGCATGGTGAGAGCCCAACCGTGGTAGCGACAGCGTCCGGCCAGTGATACCCAAGAAACGCTTGTTGAGTTCAAACTTATTCGATTTCTGTTGGATACAGGACTTGCCGACATCAGTTCAAGCTTAACCATCTCAGCCATCTTAACGCCCTAACGATCCTTACCCCAACAAATGACAATATTACATAACTTGACAACGAGTTTTCCAACCCTCACATTCACCAGGCCTGAAGCCAAGGAAATGCTGGAGCGCAAGCCTGGGGCAGCGAGTTGAGCGCGCATCATCTAAAGGGATGCACATCCACATTGATTCCAACGGCAGTGTATTGATTCATATTGATGCGTAATTTCTCAGTCACAGACTTAAAGTACATAATTATATATATACTATGAAGTCTGAGATATGTTGGAAAATGTTGGAAAGTTGGGTATCATGTTTGGATATGTTTGGTCTCCGGGTCAGTCTCTTGTTTAAAAAACCATCGACTACGGTGAGCCCGCCTGGCACGCCGTTTTGCTCAGCTTTGGCTGGTAGCAGGCAAATCACCACCGCTGCGCAGGCTGCGATAGCCAACAGAGCTGGGAACCTGACCAGCTTCAACCAGCTGAAACCTATGGAAACTTCAAATGGTGAACCATATGAATATCAGATGTATCAGCAGAGGAAACTTGATCAGTTTTTGCAATCTGAAATTGGGGGGTCCTTCAACCATTCTGGGACAAGTGGTGCATTCAAGAGATTTCAACAGCAGCAACAAAATGCAGCAATGACGACGACGAGGACGACGACGACAACAACAACAACAACAACAACAACAACGAAGAATAAGAACTGAACAAAAACGGAACAAGAAGGGCTAAACAGCAGCGGGGTAACGAATCACCGGATGGGTTTTCTAGTCTCAGCATCTCTTGCGACTGATCCCACATCTCCGACATCTAGAATATTCTAGAATCTAGACCTTGAACAGTGAGCGATCCAATCCGGAGAAGGCATTGGTCGATCAAACTGGTGGACTGGAGATTTTCTCGGGAATTCCTTTGTTTTTGAAACTGGGAAACTGTCCAGACCCCTGTGTCCTGTCAACAAACAAGGGGACGTTTAATCATAGTGTGAATTTGGCCAGCTAAGTTTCAATCGTTTAAAATCGAAGGGATATAGTTACCTCATGTATATGTATATTCAATCTGACTTCTGTCATTTGTTTTTATTTCAAATATCTTTATTGAACAAAAACTCTGTGTACATCATCTGTCTACTATACACATCGAATATATGTACTGTATATATATAATTATATATTACATTCAAATACAGTATATACTGAGAATGGTCCAACTTATTATTCCAACTTCCACTTTTGCTTCGCTGCGGCCCCACTGCCCCAGTCTGCCCCAGTCTGCCCCGCCTTGCCCGAAAAGCGCGAGACCAAGGAGTCTCCTCCTGGGCATTGACCTGTATCAATTCAACAAGGACGTGAGAATTGAGGACTGGGGCTACAGGGGATGCGGTAGGGCGGGTAGGGTGTGCGGATGGGGGTTGGGATTGAGGGTTTGAGGATGTGGTTGAAGCTGTTTGATTGGGATGCGTGTGCTTTTCAAATATCGGTTCGTCACTGCCAATCATGCCAGCATATGCTTGGTCTCTCAAATGGCTCTGCAACCTATCATGAGGTGTCTTGTCTTTGCCTTCATCAACCATTGACCATTCACATCAATTCGCGCTCTCAACAAAATCATGGGCATACCTCCCAGTCGCCTCCGTATCAAGCTGTCTTCCCAGTCACTAAAAAAGTGAAGTCTCAGTGCAGTCATTTCAATTTACCCAGCTTAACGGTTTTCCAACACGAACATCATCCAACCCACGGCCCCACGATTCCGCCACGGCCTCATCTCTCAGCAGCTGGTGAACCTCCATTTCTGAGGAATGGGCGAATCAACCGCAATTGGCATTGAAAGATATTGAAAAAGGCTTCAAAACATCGACCAATTGACATCTTTTGTCTACGGACATCCTGTATATTGGGTGGGGACTGGGTCAAGCCGCCAGCATCCGCCAGCATTCTGATTGAATTGTTTTGGGCTGAAACTATCGGTTGAAGGTGACAACAGTAAAACAATGTAAAACAATGTGAAACATCAACACGACGAACATTTCTCTCGTGAAATAAGAAACCAGACTAAGTTCGAGACTAAGTTCGAGTTGTGATTTCATGGCCATTCATGGCATATGAAGAAACCACAACATGACTTGGCCATTTTTGGATCCCAAGATTTGGACGGCTATTTTTTTTGTAGATCCCCATGAGTTTCCAATGAAACCCACCAGGACCAACAGGAACAGGACATGTTCATTGCCATGTTCCACTACATTCCACTACTATATAATATATAAATGGTACTTGGACAATACTTGAACATCTTGCGGCAATGTTGCATGTCTATCTTGAAGCTCCTTCATGAAGAGGCATTCCCTACCGCTGCCTCTGAAGAATCAACTGTGTCCATCATGGCTAAAGCTAACTCGTTGCAGTTGAACGGTTGACGTTTCAGCAACCTGGTGGGCAAACACATCCCATGATCAATGGTGAAAATGAAGTTGTTCACCTGAGATCTGGATGTTGGCAAATGGAATATTGCCTTTTGCTCTCATGGGTATGATGAGTCATGGGGCCCTTTGACCATACCTGTTCCATAGCAAGCTGAGAGAAAATGGCATCCCGGCGCTGCGATCTTTGATGAGCGATGAAACAATATCCTTAATGTAGTAAAGCCAATAATAAACCAGTCCCAAACAAGGGGTTATTATTGGCTTTACCACATTGCTTTCGATTGATGCCTTGCGAGTTAAGTCAGATCCACCAGGTGTTGCAAATGCACTTCCAACGTCTTCCTTAGCCTTACTTAGCTCACACAAGAGCAGAGACGAACTAGTGTTTTCAAATCGAAAATCGTCGAAGTGCATTTCGCACAAAAGCAACTACTGTGATCCAATCAAGCTAAAATATGAAACAACGCAATGTCTGTGCAATCCTCTAAATTCCTCTAAAATTAACTCTGGCCGCATTCGGTCAACTGAACGAGCACCTCTACTGGGGTTTCCTTTCGAAACATGGAGAGTCTGCATTTTTCGATGTTGTCCTTTCAACACTTCGGAAGCATCTGTGGCCCGGGCCCTTGGAGGTTCCAATGCTAGGCACCCTGATGACATGGAAACTGTGTCGGCCAACAACATCATTTTTGGGTAAAAAAAAGGGGCGGCTCTGGTACAGTATACATCCATGATGTACGAGTAGCTATTGGTTGCTAAGGGTGGACACTTTTTTTAAATCAAGCAAACATTGGGACCAGCACATCTATGTTTTTGACACGGCAGTGTAGCAAGTACTTTGACCATGTTTACCTATACTTAGGATGTTCAAATTCACATTGTATTACCAGCCAAATGAATCCAAACGACACATTCCCATTCCAAAAAAGTGATTCAAATCCGCAGCATCATCGCGGCAGCCGGTCCTAAAGGCCCCATCCCCAGAGCGCCTTTGGCCACCAACTTGGAACTTCCCCCTGCGGAACCCAGGGACCCCAGGACCCAGTTTGGGATGAGGAGATCGACAAAAACCACAACTGACAATACAAACTGTGGCTGTTCGTACTAAGTTCGTACCAGCCATAATTATCATGTAGGAAAATCATGGAAAATCCTCAAGTCATACTGCGGCTGCTCCAAATTACCCAATTATATGCAGGGTAGTTCAAGCGGTGTCAGGCTTCTGCTGGCTGTGAGTTATCATGGTTGCCTCCCAAAAATCTCCCAAATACCGCGAAAACGAACAAAGATGCTGACAAATGCTTGGATATTGAATGATATTTGAATATTGATCTACCTCATCCATTTCTGTTGAACATCAGCGTCAGCAACTTGCCCCCACAGAAGGCCTCATCTTCGTCATGAAACTTAGGCGCCTCCTTGGGTGTCTCCTTGGGCGCCTGATGCCAGCTGCCAGAGCTAATTCAATGGAAAAGAACAAACTATAGACAGCAATTTGTTTATGCAATTGTGTGAAACAACATGCAATATTTATAGGAACTTCATCACCTGGCAGTTTTGGGGCATAACAAAGAAAACACATTCGTATTATTGTTCGCGAGCTTGAACGCCAATTAGATGGTTGCTGGTAAACTAGAAAGAACAAAAATCTACGAAAAACATGACGGTACTCTGTTTTGTACTTCAACGGCAATCAGCGCTGACGCTCAAAGTCTGTGTTGCTCGGCTTATCAAGGAATATATATATATATTATATTATATATATATATATTTGTTTGCAACAACAACATCCCAAAATTCCCTAAAGCCCTAGCTGTAAGAGTTTTTTAAAGTCAAATATGGTCAAACATGGTCAAACCATGTCAAACCATAATAATCCCATGATAATCCATGATAATCCATCATAATCCTTTTTTGTATGCTACAGATTGCTATAGTCTATAGTAATAATATGTAATAATCCACAATTATCCCATTTTCATCCATTTTCATCCATTTTCTGGTTTCCGCTGTAGCATTCTGCCTTGGGCGGAAGTCTCTCCACTATCGGCGCCACGTTTGGCACCTCAGCGTCCTGTAAAGAATGTCCAGGACACCGACCTTTTGGGTACCCTCTGGTAATGACTAACATGGCTATTGGAAATTGCAATACCCTCTGGTAAACTAGCATTGCATAGCTATTGAAAATGGGTGTTTTATAACTGATTTACCCATTAACAATGGTGATTTTCCATAGTTATGTAAACGTCTACCAGAGGGTAACCAACCGTTTTCCACTGACCTTGCTACGTTTTCACCAGGAGGGAAGTCTGCCATAGGACAAATCAAGGCAAAAAAACAAAAACCGGTTGCAAATCTGGGGCATCAACCATATGCTGGGGAAAAAAAATCTGTATATAAACCTGTATCAAAAGATGTTTGTTCAAACAAAAATCAACATTGCTGGGTTTCGATGATGTTTGTTTCAGAGTTCAGGGTTGCTCCCAACAACCCAGATACAAGTGGGGTATTTGAAGAGGTGACATGACAATTTTTCTCCGCTTGTAGCTATCATTTGCCTGTAACAGGTTGGAACAACCCTGCAATTGGGGGGCCGAAAATCAAATCAATCATCCTTTCATTTCTGGGTGCAGTCAAGTTTCAAACCAGAAATTCTATAGTCAATGTAGGTCATATTCCAAAATTACGATCAAACACAAAAAACAAATGGGTATGGATCAATACCTATTAATACCATTTTTAGGGGGATGAACACCCATTTACCAGCTATTTTGATGTGAACTACAGGGGTACAAGGCAGGGGTACTATTGGTTTTGACACACTGCCATATGAACAATGAGGATGGATCAACTTAGCATGTATGAAGATCCAATAAGATCCACCGACCCCTCCAGCCCAAGCTGCCCACCTGGTCAGCGGGCTCAGAATGCCCATTGGCGCTCGCTGCTTCCTCTTTTGGCCCGTCCTGCTAAGGCTGCCAAGAGATGCATGAAAGGTACATTAAACATAATTAAATTCATGAAGTTCATCCCCCAAAATTGGATAAAATGGTCTAAAACTGGTAATGTCAAGTCAGGATTAATAAAACCCCCTAGTTACCGAAACCCATACTCTCCTCCGATTTTGGGGCAATACTAAAGTCAAGTAGGTGTTGTTTTCCCCCTAATAGTGGTGTCCAACCCCCCCAACTAGATAAGCCCATCCGGGATCCCAAATTTTGTGGGACTAATTTGCTATTACTCCCTTTTTACTTTTTAATTCGGGTTACAGTTTCCAGGGTTACTTAGTGACCTTTTCCTCTTATTCCTCCTTTGATTCGTCTCATGCTGGCACAATTAATTTTTTCTATGCTGGTTTCATGTGCCATTATCTAATCTTTAGCAACAATTACATAAACATTGCATTGCCTGATGTTTCCTCATCCACCTCCCAAGGATGTTTTGTCCAATTGGCACTTTCAAGACGCCAAAAATGAAAAAAAATCATCCCCCAAGTGATCGATTTCTAATTAAAATCTAATTAAAACATATTATTTTGGGAGCTCGCACTGGCTACCCCCCTGAGCGGTGTTCCCCCCCACAAATAAAATTACGCCCCCCTCCACTTAGTAAACCCCACCCAGCCGCGATAAGTTTTTTCTATGCGTGCTTCTTTTTGCAACCAGTTAATTAATGAACTAATTCAACAACTACATCAGCATTGCCTGATCTTTCCTCATCCAACTCGCAAGAATGTCTTTGCCATGTGGCAAATTTCAAGACGCCAAAAAAAACATCCCCCAAATGATCGACTTCTAATTAAAATCTAATTAAAAAATGCTGTTTCTGGGAGCTTGGAAAGGCTACCCCCCTTGAGTGGTGTCCCCCCCAAATAAAACTACGCCCCCTCCGATTAGTAAAACCCACCAGCCGCGATAAGTTTTTCTATGCGCGCTTCAATTTGCAATCAGTTACCTATTGAAAGAGTTCAACAACTACATCAACAGTGCCTCATCTTTCCTCATCCACCTCGCAAGAATGTTTTTGCCATGTGGCAATTTAGTACTATATGCTGCTACTACTACTACTGCTACTACTGCTGCTGCTGCTGCTCCTACTTCTACTTCTGCTACTGCTAATACTACCACCACCACCACTACTACCACCACCACCACCTCCTCCTACTACAACAACAACTACTACTACGACTACTACCTACTACTACCTACTACTACCTACTACTACCTACTACTACCTACTACTACCTACTACTACCTACTACTACCTACTACTACCTACTACTACCTACTACTATCTACTACTACCTACTACTACCTACTACTAGCTACTACTAGCTACTGCTACCTACTGCTACCTACTGCTACCTACTGCTACCTGCTACTATACTACTATACTACTACTATACCACTACCTACTACTACTTGCTACTACCTACTACTGATACTTACTACTGCTTACTACTACTTCTTTCTACTTCTTTCTACTTATTACTACGTATTACTACTTCTTACTACTTACTACTACTTACTACTACTTGCTACTGTTACTACTACTTACTACTACTTACTACTACTTACTACTACTTGCTACTGTTACTACTACTTACTACTACTTACTACTACTTGCTACTACTTCCTACTACTTCCTGCTACTTCCTACTACTTCCTACTACTTCCTACTACTTGCTACTACTAGTTGCTACTAGTTGCTACTAGTTGCTACTAGTTGCTACTAGTTGCTACTAGTTGCTAGTTACTAGTTGCTACTAGTTGCTACTATTTGCTACTACCTACGACTGTACCTACGACTATACCTACAGCGACGATACCTACGACTATATACCTACGACTATACCTACGACTTTACCTACGGCTATATAGCTACGACTATACCTACGACTATACCATATATGACTATACCTACGACTATATGTGCGACTATATACCTACGACTATATGGGCCACGGTCAATAGTCATCAAGTCATCAATTGTGAAGAGTGTATTATAGTTTTTCAGGTTTCGGTATATAAGCAAATGTTATCGTTTTTTGAAGAGTGTATTATCATTTTTCCAAACCCAAGTAACCCAAGCTCAATTTCCAAAAAAAAAGATCTCTCGAATACTGCTCTCCAATAACTGAATCTTTGGCTGTAGCTCAAATACCTACGACTATACCTATGACTATATACCTACGACTATACCTACGACTATACCTACTATATACCTACTATATACCTACGACTATAACTACTATACCTATAACTAGGACTACCTATAGGACTACCTAGGACTATACCTACGACGTATACGACTATCTACGACTACAGCTACATACGACTACCTACGACTATACCTACGACGACCTACAGCTACCTACGACGACTTACTACTATTTACTATTACTTGCTACTAATTACTGCTTACTACTACTTACTACTACTTACCACTACTTACTACTACTTACTACTACTAACTACTACTAACTACTACTAACTACTACTACCTACTACTACTTACTACTACTTACTACTACTTACTGCTACCTACTGCTACTTATTACTACTTACTACTACTTACGACTACTACCTACTACCGCCTCATGTTGGGAAGAAGTTGCTTCTTTCATTCCAAGAGCTGTGCTTTCATTAGTTCCAATTCACACTCTTACCAGACACACCAGTTTCAACGGCTTTTTGGCGGTTGACTCATGATGTTAGGAAGAGGTGACTACAAAAGGCTTCAATTGTGACTTCGCGCAAAAAAAAGGCTGTACACAAGCTGCGCGCACTCTAGCATGTTTCCACCTTATGAAGTAAAGGGCGAAGTGAGCTTGGCACCTCTTCCCTTCCTTTCTTCCATTCCCCTTCCCCTTGGGCCCCAGGCTTCCAAGCAAAGATTGTCAGAAAGAAAGCCGCACAAAATGAGCCACAAAAGGAGCCACACAAACTGCTAGGCAGCCAAACAAGGCACATAGACATATTGGTGAGCACAGAATCAACCTGTCATGGATGCTAATTCATAACTGAGTTTATCAAGTTTGATACCTTATGGATGCTATTATGCAGCTAATTCTGACAGAATGACGCTCCATCCATCGGTGCTTACTTGCAAGCTAATTCCAGCAAATTGGTTCATGGATGAGTCAAAGGATCATTATTTCCGGGGGTTGGGTTTTTTGACTCCCTGACTGGACCTTGTTGACCTTATTGACCTATAGGGGGGGACAGGGGGCGGGGTTTATTAATCCGGTCTCTACATTATAACACTGACTGATTGGAGATTCTCCAAGATTGGGTGTGCAACACAAACTGATTGGAGATCAGTACAATCTACCCGTAGGTCAGAAGGTCAGAAGGTAAATCTCAAAGGAGATGGGAACCTCGAGCCTCCAGCAACTTCCGAACCCACGTCTGCATCCCTCCCGAGCGTACCCTATTAGAACCTGTGGTGATAATACGCATATTGCATAGTATGTTCATCATATCTTCCAATCAATCACGCACAATAAAAACAATAGTTGTGGGTTATCCTCAATAATCAAGCAATCATCTGAACATACCCACAATAATCCAGCACGTGGGTTATCCTCAAGGTCACAATGCTGCAGAGGTCCTGAGATCCAGATGCTGGAAAGCCGCCAAAAGCGTCCTCAGCCTGTCATGGGCGCAATCAGTCCCACCATTCCAATGAAGATATTCAACCACATTCAGCATATATATATACACATACATTATATATATATATTTAAAAACATATAAACATACTTAGCCGACAGAGTAGTACACATAAACATAAATTTCAAACAGAACCTACTGATACCATGTTATCACCAATAATGTTGATAATATGTTGTTATCTGCTCCTATGATGATGTTGGCAAAGAGAGACACAAATATTTTAATTAACTAAACAATCCTAGACATACCTAAACTCTAAATAAATCTAAATGAGACGAACCACAAGCGATGCTTTCAATTTGGGTCGCTGCGATTCTCTCAAACTGCGCCTTGGAACTCGTCAATGAAGCATCTGGCCACTGCATCCCACCAGGGGTTGATTCCTTTTGGCAGGGCAGCATGGCAGAAATCAATCATTGCACGCGGTGACATGCATCTACACAAACAATTGTACGCATTCTACGTTTATATATTTCAATCTATTTGGATCTATTCAAAGCGAATATCCCAGTATATTATATTAATGTATATTATGCGTACAAATATTACTAATAGCATTACTATATATAATTGTGTATATATATATAATATTATAGTATTTGTCCACAATGTGTACAACCGGTTGCTCATGTTGCTCCTGTGCTGGCCATTCTGGAAATCCACCTGGGAAAGCTGCGGCCTGGTCGGGATATTTCAGGATCAACCCATGGTCTTCACATCTTGAGCCCCTAGATGCTAACCACTAAAAGGCCTTGGCCATGACGAAGTAGAAGTTGGAACAGATTCATCCGTGCAGAATGTTGTGTGACAAAGATACACATCTCAATTTTCCCTTACATGATTCTACACAAAATATTCATAGTCATAGGACATAGAACATGTATACACTATGTGGCATGTGTTTTACAATATCATCTAGAAATTATACACAACATTCACAAATATACGGCGTATACGGTATATTTCAACACGAGATACCACCAAGATCCACCAAACATGGGCTGTATGGGGATGCCCAGCCGACATCAATGACCAAGGTCATGATGGGGACGTGATGGGGATACACTGCAGAATTTAGAGGCCACTCATGATTACATAATATTATATAATATGAATATAATATGACTCAATGACTATATAAATAATGGATGGATACAGTAAATGCATGTAAATGCAACACGTTCTTTTGACAGTAAACAGGCGACGTTGGCTCAAGTGTAGGGTCATTGTAAAGGGTCATGGTCATATTTGCGGGTTGCACATCATCTTGATTTTTTGATCCAGAAAAATGTCGCAAGAACCCTCTTTGAACCAAAAAAAAAGGGCTCAAGACAGGAACGCTGAAAGGTCCCCAAACATCTTTTGTGAGAACAAAATAGAACAAACAGCAAACTAACCCCAAAAAAAGACTGGCATCATGCATCAACAGAACCGCATTTACACAAGCACCTCGTGCTGCACCCTTTGCTGAGACCAAGCAGTCAGCAAACTTCAAGCATCACATGAGTTCCGGTCAAAATCACTTTACATCTGAGTAGTTGCTGTTGTTCTGGTTATCGGTTTTGGGGCGTCCCTATCGCTTTCCAGGGTTTCGTGGAAATCAGCCTATTCGAGATCCAATATGAAGCCAAAATCCATTCTTAAAGAGGCTCGGAAACATGTTCATTTCATTTTGCATTCATTTGTATGCATTTTCCTTCATGTTCTTTTTATTTGCATGTATCTTCCTTTCATTTTGCATTCATTTCCTTTCGTGTTCCTTTCATTCTCCTTTCATTTGTGCTCATTTCCATTCATTTTCCTGTCATATTCCTTTCATTTAATTCCAATGTGCATTCATGTCCTTTCATCTTCCTTTTATTTGCATGCATTTCCTTTCATTTTGCATTCATGTCCTTTCATTTCTTTCTAAAGCTATGGAAATGGCTCGAAGGCTTGGCCCGGGGACCGAGTGCAACAAATGGTTACGTATTGCTAAGTTATCGCTAAGGTTATCGGCAAACAACCCCTCCAACATAACATTGTTCGAAGGAAATTTGCCACAAAGACGAGCGAGAGAGAGAGAGAGAGAGAGAAAGAGCGAGCGAGTTGGATGCCTAATAATATGGTAACTGCAGAAAACACGGCACCACAGGTTGAATTTTCCTCCTTGATTGCCCGTTCTGTAAATGTGCACAATAGCATTGCTTGGTTTACGCCAAGTTTAATGGACTGTCGTGTATGGTCCCAGGTTATCGCTTTTCGGGGGGCCCTATCGCTTTACAGTGCTTCGTGCACATCTCTGACAAAAAACTCCTGCAATACTAAAGTAGTCTTCAACCATTTTGACAGTGACTCACATGCATGAAGTGCATCAATGTGCATCGCATGCATCTGCATTTGCATTTAGCGACATGCACGAACGAAATCAGTTGTGTACAAGCACTGCTTGCTGAAGGCGCCTCAGCACTGCCTGGCCACTGCATCCCACTCGGCGCCGAGGTCTCCTCAGGCAAAGTGCTCCCCTGACAGCTGTACAAACCACAGAAGCCAAAAGACACCCACATCACACAAACTCACAAAACCACGTACACAACAAACTGCCAAACAAAAACCTAGCCACTGTAGCCAATGCTCGTCTGAAAGGTTGCCTGTGACAACCAAATAGTAAGTGGACAGAACATGACAGAACATCATCTAAACCCGAAAGCTCCTTTGCCGCAGAGGTTTGTGGAAACCCTGGTGATGGTGGAAATCCAGTAGAGGACTCTGCAGCCACCTTCACGGAAAAAAAACAGAGCCAACAATATGCTAGCAATGGCAAATCTACAAGCTTTTATGACCAACGCAGTCACGAATTGCCTGAAGGTTTTGATTTCCCTTGATTGCTTCAAAATCTTCAGAGCTCAACCTATTGAAAAACACGACAGCAGAGTGGAAGACTGCAATAGACTGCAGCATTGCTTCAAGGTGCTTCGACAGAGACCAAGCAGTCAACAAACTTCAAACTGTACGTGCATCAACAAACATCAACATTAACAAGCATCAACAATCATCAACACGCATGAACAAAATCGGTTGTGTACAAGCGCTTCATGCTGACAGCGCCTCAGCGCTAGACAGGGCACTGCCTGGCCACTGCATCCCACTCGGCGTCGAGGTCTCCTTAGGCAAAGTGCTCTCCTGACAGCTGTACGAACCACAGAAGCCAAAAAAAACACGCAAACAGTAACAAACTGACAAAACCACATACCCAACAAAATGCCACACAAAAACCTAGCCAATGTAGCCAATGCTCGTCCGAAAGGTTGCCTGTGACAACCGCATAACAGACAGAACATGACAGAACATGACAAAACATCATCTAAACCCAAAAGCTCCTTTGCCGCAGAGCTTTCTGGAAACCCTGGTGATGGTGGAAATCCAGCAGAGGACTCTGCCGTCACCTTCACGGAAAAAATCAGAGCCGACAATATGCCAAGAATGGCAAAATCTACAGGTGTTTGTGACCAACGCAGTCACGAAATGCCTGAAGGTTTTGATTTCCCTTGATTGCTTCAAAATGTTCAGAGCTCAACCTATTGAAAAACACGACAGCAGAGTGGAAGACTGCAAGGACTGCAACATTGCTTCAAGGTGCTTCAACAGAGACCAAGCAGTCAACAAACTTCAAACTGTACGTGCATCAACAAACATTAACACGCGTGAACAAAATCGGTTGTATACAAGCACTTCATGCTGACAGCGCCTCAGCGCTAGACAGGGCACTGCCTGGCCACTGCATCCCACTCGGCGTCGAGGTCTCCTTTGGCAAAGGGCTCTCCTGAACAGCAGCCACAGAAACACAAATCTAGGCAAAAATCATGAGCAAAGCCTAGCCAATGCTTCTGGGAAAGATTGCGTGAGAAAACATTGGCATGTCAGAACATGGCAAAATGTTGCAGAACAAAATATCGTCTGAACTCAACGAAGGGCCTTTGCTGTGGAGGCTTCTGGAAACCCTGGGGATGGTGGAAATCCCGCAGGGGACTCCGCTGTCACCTCCGCAGGAAGAAAGTGGAAGAAATCAGAGCCAGCAATGGCAATCTACACCTGTATGTCACCAACGCAGGAACAAAAAACACCTCAATATAATGAATTAACAAAAAACACATACGATGACCTTTCCCTACTTAAACCAGGTCAAATCAATATCTTAAAAGACCTTCAAAGCATTTCAAAGCTATCCTATGTCAAAATCCCAAGCTCAAACCGCAAGACGGTTTCAAGGTCCCTCCACATCTTTGCTCAAACGAAGCAGTCAACAAACTTCAAGCATTACATGAATTCAGATGCATCAACATGCATCAGCATGCATCGGCATGCGTCAACATGCAACATCATGATCCAACATTAGCATCAACATGCATCATTAATCATCAACAGAACCGCATGTACACAAGCACTTCATGCTGACAGCGCCTCAGCGCTAGACAGGGCACTGCCTGGCCACTGCATCCCACTCGGCGTCGAGGTCTCCTTTGGCAAAGGGCTCTCCTGAACAGCAGACACAGAAACACAAATCTAGGCAAAAATCATGAGCAAAGCCTAGCCAATGCTTCTGGGAAAGATTGCGTGAGAAAACATTGGCATGTCAGAACATGGCAAAATGTTGCAGAACAAAATACCGTCTGAACTCAACGAAGGGCCTTTGCTGTGGAGGCTTCTGGAAACCCTGGGGATGGTGGAAATCCCGCAGGGGACTCTGCTGTCACCTCCGCAGGAAGAAAGTGGAAGAAATCAGAGCCAGCAATGGCAATCTACACCTGTATGTCACCAACGCAGGAACAAAAAAACCTCAATATAATGAATTAACAAAAAACACATACGATGACCTTTCCCTACTTAAACCAGGTCAAATCAATATCTTAAAAGACCTTCAAAGCATTTCAAAGCTATCCTATGTCAAAATCCCAAGCACAAACCGCAAGACGGTTTCAAGGTCCCTCCACATCTTTGCTGAAACGAAGCAGTCAACAAACTTCAAGCACTACATGAATTCAGATGCATCAACATGCATCAGCATGCATCGGCATGCATCGGCATGCAACATCATGATCCAACATTAGCATCAACATGCATCAATAATCATCAACAGAACCACATGTAAAAAAGCACTGCTTGCTGACAGCGCCTCAGCACTAGGCAGGGCACTGCCTGGCCACTGCATCCCACTCGGCGTCGAAGTCTCCTTAGGCAAAGTGCTCTCCTGACAGCTGTACAAACCACAGAAGCCAAAAAACACGCAAACAGTAACAAACTCACAAAACCACATACCCAACAAAATGCCACACAAAAACCTAGCCAATGTAGCCAATGCTCGTCCGAAAGGTTGCCTGTGACAACCAGACAACAAACAGAACATGAAAGAACATGACGGAACATCATCAAAACCCGAAAGCTCCTTTGCCGCAGAGCTTTCTGGAAACCCTGGTGATGGTGGAAATCCAGTAGAGGACTCTGCCGTCACCTTCACGGAAAATAAAACAATCAGAGCGAACCATGGCAACCTACACACGTTGTGACCGAAACAGTCACTAAATTCCTGTTCCTAAATTACCTAAATGGTTGGATTTCCTCAACCTTCTTCAACATCATCAAAGCTCGAAACAAAGCAAAACAAATGACTGAAACAATGCCTCAAGGTCCCTCAACATCTTTGGTGAAGCCCAGCATGAAGCCCAGCAGTCAACGAACTTCAAGCATTACATGCATCAACAAACATCAACATCCATCAACATGCAGCAATCGCATCTACGCAATACTGCTTGCTGAAAGCGCCTCAGCAGTAGGCAGGGCACTGCCTGGCCACTGCATCCCACTCGGCGTCGAGGTCTCCTTTGGCAAAGGGCTCTCCTGAACAGCAGCCACAGAAACACAAATCTAGGCAAAAATCCTGAGCAAAGCCTAGCCAATGCTTCTGGGAAAGATTGCGTGAGAAAACATTGGCATGTCAGAACATGGCAAAATGTTGCAGAACAAAATATCGTCTGAACTCAACGAAGGGCCTTTGCTGTGGAGGCTTCTGGAAACCCTGGGGATGGTGGAAATCCCGCAGGGGACTCTGCTGTCACCTCCGCAGGAAGAAAGTGGAAGAAATCAGAGCCAGCAATGGCAATCTACACGTGTATGTCACCAACGCAGGAACAAAAAAAACCTCAATATAATGAATTAACAAAAAACACATACGATGACCTTTCCCTACTTAAACCAGGTCAAATCAATATCTTAAAAGACCTTCAAAGCATTTCAAAGCTATCCTATGTCAAAACCCCAAGCTCAAACCGCAAGACGGTTTCAAGGTCCCTCCACATCCTTGCTGAAACGAAGCAGCCAACAAACTTCAAGCATTACATGAATTCAGATGCATCAACATGCATCAGCATGCATCGGCATGCGCAACATCATGATCCAACATTAGCATCAACATGCATCATTAATCATCAACAGAATCGCATGTACACAAGCACTGCTTGCTGACAGCGCCTCAGCACTAGGCAGGGCACTGCCTGGCCACTGCATCCCACTCGGCGTCGAGGTCTCCTTAGGCAAAGTGCTCTCCTGACAGCTGTACAAACCACAGAAGCCAAAAAACACGCAAACAGTAACAAACTCACAAAAAAGACATACCCAACAAAATGCCACACAAAAACCTAGCCAATGTAGCCAATGCTCGTCCGAAAGGTTGCCTGTGACAACCAAATAGCAAACAGAACATGAAAGAACTTGACAGAACATCATCTAAACCCGAAAGCTCCTTTGCCGCAGAGCTTTCTGGAAACCCTGGTGATGGTGGAAATCCAGTAGAGGACTCTGCCGTCACCTTCACGGAAAAAAACAATGAGAGCCAATCATGGCAACCTACACACGTTGTGACCGAAACAGTCTCTAAATTCCTGTTCCTAAATTACCCAAATGGTTGGATTTCCTCAACCTTCTTCAACATCATCAAAGCTCGAAACAAAGCAAAACAAATGACTGAAACAGTGCTTCAAGGTCCCTCAACATCTTTGGTGAAGCCCAGCATGAAGCCCAGCGGTCAACGAACTTCAAGCATTACACGCATCAACAAACATCAACATCCATCAACAGAATCCCATGTACACAAGCACTGCTTGCTGACAGCGCCTCAGCACTAGGCAGTGCACTGCCTGGCCACTGCATCCCACTCGGCGTCGAGGTCTCCTTTGGCAAAGGGCTCTCCTGCACAGCAGCCACAGAAACACAAATCTAGGCAAAAATCCTGAGCAAAGCCTAGCCAATGCTTCTGGGGAAGATTGCGTGAGAAAACATTGGCATGTCAGAACATGGCAAAATGTTGCAGAACAAAATATCGTCTGAACTCAACGAAGGGCCTTTGCTGTGGAGTCAAGTATTACATGGCATCAACATGCATCGGCATGAATCAACATGCACCAGCATGATCCAACATTAGCATTATTAATCATCATCAACATGAATCAACAGGACCGCATGTACACAAGCACTGCTTGCTGAAAGCGCCTCAGCACTAGGCAGGGCACTGCCTGGCCACTGCATCCCACTCCGCGTCGAGGTCTCCTTAGGGAGAGTGCTCTCCTGACAGCTGTACAAACCACACAAACTCACAAAACCACAAACCATCACATAATCAACAAAATGCCACACAAAAACCTAGCCAATGTAGCCAATGCTCGTCCGAAAGGTTGCCTGTGACAACCAAATAGCAAACAGAACATGAAAGAACTTGACAGAACATGACAGAACATAATCTAAACCCAAAAGCTCCTTTGCCGCAGAGCTTTCTGGAAACCCTGGTGATGGTGGAAATCCAGCAGAGGACTCTGCCGTCACCTTCACAAAAACAAATCGGAGCCAACAATATGCCAATAATGGCAAATCATGGCAAACCTACACGCTTTTGTGACCGATGTACTCACTGAATGCCTGAAGGTTTTAATTTCCCTAGATTCCTTCAACATCTTCAGAGCTCAACCTATCCAATCTATCCAAAACACAACAGCAGAATGGAAGACTGCAACAACTGCTTCAAGGTCCCTCAACACTGTTGGTGAAGCCCAGCAGTCAACGTACTTCAAGCATTACATGCATCAACAAACATCAACAAACATCAACATCCATCAACAGAATCGCATGTACACAAGCACTGCTTGCTGACAGCGCCTCAGCACTAGGCAGGGCATTGCCTGGCCACTGCATCCCACTCCGCGTCGAGGTCTCCTTTGGCAAAGGGCTCTCCTGCACAGCAGCCACAGAAACACAAATCTAGGCAAAAATCCTGAGCAAAGCCTAGCCAATGCTTCTGGGGAAGATTGCGTGAGAAAACATTGGCATGTCAGAACATGGCAAAATGTTGCAGAACAAAATATCGTCTGAACTCAACGAAGGGCCTTTGCTGTGGAGGCTTCTGGAAACCCTGGGGATGGTGGAAATCCCGCAGGGGACTCTGCTGTCACCTCTGCAGGAAGAAAGTGGAAGAAATCAGAGCCAGCAATGGCAATCTACACCTGTATGTCACCAACGCAGGAACAAAAAAACCTCAATATAATGAATTAACAAAAAACACATACGATGACCTTTCCCCAATTAAATCATGTAAAGTCAACATCCTGAAAGATCTTCAAAGCTAACCTATGTCAAATCCCAAGCTCAAACCGCAACACGGTTTCAAGGTCTCTCCACATCCTTGCTGAGACGAAGCAGTCAGCAAACTTCAAGTATTACATGGCATCAACATGCATCGGCATGAATCAACATGCACCAGCATGATCCAACATTAGCAATATTAATCATCATCAACATGAATCAACAGGATCGCATGTACACAAGCACTGCTTGCTGAAAGCGCCTCAGCACTAGGCAGGGCACTGCCTGGCCACTGCATCCCACTCCGCGTCGAGGGCTCCTCAGGCAAAGTGCTCTCCTGACAGCTGTACAAACCACACAAACTCACAAAACCACAAACCATCACATAATCAACAAAATGCCACACAAAAACCTAGCCAATGTAGCCAATGCTCGTCCGAAAGGTTGCCTGTGACAACCAGATAGCAAACAGAACATGAAAGAACTTGACAGAACATGACAGAACATCATCTAAACCCAAAAGCTCCTTTGCCGCAGAGCTTTCTGGAAACCCTGGTGATGGTGGAAATCCAGCAGAGGACTCTGCCGTCACCTTCACAGAAAAAAATCAGAGCCAACAATATGCCAATAATGGCAAATCATGGCAAACCTACACGCTTTTGTGACCGATGCACTCACTGAATGCCTGAAGGTTTTAATTTCCCTAGATTCCTTCAACATCTTCAGAGCTCAACCTATCCAATCTATCCAAAACACAACAGCAGAATGGAAGACTGCAACAACTGCTTCAAGGTCCCTCAACACTGTTGGTGAAGCCCAGCAGTCAACGTACTTCAAGCATTACATGCATCAACAAACATCAACAAACATCAACATCCATCAACAGAATCCCATGTACACAAGCACTGCTTGCTGACAGCGCCTCAGCACTAGGCAGGGCATTGCCTGGCCACTGCATCCCACTCGGCGTCAAGGTTTCCTTTGGCAAAGGGCTCTCCTGAACAGCAGCCACAAAAAGACAAATCTAGGCAAAAGTCCTGAGCAAAGCCTAGCCAATGCTTCTGGGAAAGCTTGCGTGAGAAAACATTGGCATGTCAGAACATGGCAAAATGTTGCAGAACAAAATATCGTCTGAACTCAACGAAGGGCCTTTGCTGTGGAGGCTTCTGGAAACCCTGGGGATGGTGGAAATCCCGCAGGGGACTCTGCTGTCACCTCCGCAGGAAGAAAGTGGAAGAAATCAGAGCCAGCAGTGGCAATCTACACCTTTTTTGTCACCAACGCAGGAACAAAAAATAACTAAATATAATGAATTAAAGGACCGGATAACTCCACGTGTCAACTTCTTCCAATAAGCAGCAAAAGAAAGGTCAAGATGGGATGGGAAATGCAGGAAAGAGAAAAGATATGGTGAAGGGTCGGCGTGTGCAACAAATGTATGTCGAAGGGATGTGTGTGCGTGTGTGAGTAACTCGTGTGTGGACAAGTTGTGTGTGAGTTATTATGTGTGTGGACAAGTTGTGACAAGTTGTGTGTGGACAAGGTGTGTGTGGACAAGCGCGCCACTAAAACCAGCCCAGTGCCATAAGTGTCACGCCGGCCACGCACAGTGGAGGTCGATTTCAACATTAAATCAGAACACAGTCATGCCAGAATCCACGCAAGACCTCGACAAGAGCTTGCTGCTTCGGCGCCTGTCAAATCATGAAAACGCTATAGTGTAACAGCACAAGTGAAGGTGGATGTCACCAAGTGCCACGCCTGCCACGCCAACAGCCGCCGCGACAACGGCGCCCAAGGGAGACCCAAGCGCGCCACCAGAGCCAGTCCAGTGCCATAAGTGCCACGCTTGCCACGCAAAGTGAAGGTCGATGTCACCAAGTGCCAGGTAAGTTGTGTGAGTAATTTGTGTGTGAGGAAGTTGTGTGTGAGAAAGTTGTGTGTGGACAAGTTGAAGTTGTGTGAGTAATTTGTGTGTGAGTAAGTTGTGTGAGTAATTTGTGTGAGTAATTTGTCAGTGTGATGAAGTTGTGTGTGAGAAAGTTATATGTGGACAAGTTGTGTGTGGACAAGTTGTGTGTGAATAAGTTGTGTGAGTAATTTATGTGTGAGGAAGTTGTGTGTGAGAAAGTTATGTGTGGACAAGTTGTGTGTGGACAAGTTGTGTGTGAGTAAGTTGTGTGAGGAATTTGTGTGTGAGGAAGTTGTGTGTGTGTGTGAGAAAGTTATGTGTGGACAAGTTGTGTGTGAGTTATTATGTGTGTGGACAAGTTGTGACAAGTTGTGTGTGGACAAGTTGTATGTGAGGAAGTTATGTGTGGACAAGTTGTGTGTGAGTGAGTAAGCTGTGTGTGTCTGTGTGGAAGGCGGGCGGGACGGACGGGGCGGGACGGTCGGGGCGGGCGGGGCGGAAGTACACAACCAAAAACAAGAACCCCACACAAAGATGTGGGGAATTAACATAAATCACATACGATGACCTTGCCCTAATTAAATTATGTTATAAGTCAACATCCTGATAGATCTTCAAAGCTAGCCTATGTCAAAATCCCAAGCTCAAACCGCAACACGGTTTCAAGGTCCCTCCACATCTTTACTGAAACTAAGCGGTCAACAAACTTCAAGCATTACATGAAATCAAATGCATCAAGTGCATGAACGTGCATCGGCATGGGCATGAATCAACATGCACCAGCATGATCCAACATTAGCATTATTAATCATCATCAACATGAATCAACAGGACCGCATGTACACAAGCACTGCTTGCTGAAAGCGCCTCAGCAATAGGCAGGGCACTGCCTGGCCACTGCATCGCACTCGGCGTCGAGGTCTCCTCGGGCAAAGTGCTCTCCTGACAGCTGTACAAACCACACAAAGTCACAAAACCACAAACCATCACATAATCAACAAAATGCCACACAAAAACCTAGCCAATGTAGCCAATGCTCGTCCGAAAGGTTGCCTGTGACAACCAGACAGCAAACAGAACATGAAAGAACATGACAGAACATCATCTAAACCCGAAAGCTCCTTTGCCGCAGAGCTTTCTGGAAACCCTGGTGATGGTGGAAATCCAGTAGAGGACTCTGCCGTCACCTTCACGGAAAAAAATAGAGCCAACAATATGCCAACAATGGCAAATCTACACGCTTTTGTGACCGATGCTCTCATTAAATGCCTGAAGGTTTTGATTTCCCTAGATTCCTTCAACATCTTCAGAGCTCAACCTATCCAATCTATCCAAAACACAACAGCAGAATGGAAGACTGCAACAACTGCTTCAAGGTCCCTCAACACTGTTGGTGAAGCCCAACAGTCAACGTACTTCAAGCATTACATGCATCAGCAAATATCAACAAACATCAACATCCATCAACAGAATCCCATGTACACAAGCACTGCTTGCTGACAGCGCCTCAGCACTGGGCAGGGCATTGCCTGGCCACTGCATCCCACTCGGAGTCGAGGTCTCCTTAGGCAAAGTGCTCTCCTGACAGCTGTACAAGCCACAGAAGCCAAACCACAAAACCACATGCCCAACAAAATGCCACACAAAAACCTAGCCAATGTAGCCAATGCTCGTCCGAAAGGTTGCCTGTGACAACCAAACAGCAAAAAGAACATGAAAGAACATGACAGAACATCATCAAAACCCGAAAGCTCCTTTGCCGCAGAGCTTTCTGGAAACCCTGGTGATGGTGGAAATCCAGTAGAGGACTCTGCCGTCACCTTCACCGAAAAAACACAATCAAAGCCAACCATGGCAACCTACACACGTTGTGACCGAAACAGTCACTAAATTCCTGTTCCTAAATTACCTAAATGGTTGGATTTCCTCAACCTTCTTCAACATCATCAAAGCTCGAAACAAAGCAAAACAAATGACTGAAACAGTGCTTCAAGGTCCCTCAACATCTTTGGTGAAGCCCAGCATGAAGCCCAGCAGTCAACGAACTTCAAGCATTACATGCATCAACAAACATCAACATCCATCAACAGAATCCCATGTACACAAGCACTGCTTGCTGACAGCGCCTCAGCACTAGGCAGGGCACTGCCTGGCCACTGCATCCCACTCGGTGTCGAGGTCTCCTTTGGCAAAGGGCTCTCCTGCACAGCAGCCACAGAAACACAAATCTAGGCAAAAATCCTGAGCAAAGCCTAGCCAATACTTCTGGGAAAGATTGCGTGAGAAAACATTGGCATGTCAGAACATGGCAAAATGTTGCAGAACAAAATATCGTCTGAACTCAACGAAGGGCCTTTGCTGTGGAGGCTTCTGGAAACCCTGGGGATGGTGGAAATCCCGCAGGGGACTCTGCTGTCACCTCCGCAGGAAGAAAGTGGAAGAAATCAGAGCCAGCAATGGCAATCTACACCTTTTTTGTCACCAACGCAGGAACGAAAAAAAACTCAATATAATGAATTAACATAAATCACATACGATGACCTTCTCTACTTAAACCATGTCAAACCAATATCTTAAAAAACCTTCAAAGCTATCCTATGTCAAAATCCCAAGCTCAAACCGCAACACGGTTTCAAGGTCCCCCCACATCTTTGCTGAAACGAAGCAGTCAACAAACTTCAAGCATTGCATGAATTCAGATGCATCAACATGCATCAGCATGCATCGGCATGCATCAACATGCAACATCATGATCTAACATTAGCATCAACAAGCATCAATAATCATCAACAGAATCGCATGTACACAAGCACTGCTTGCTGACAGCGCCTCAGCACTAGACAGGGCACTGCCTGGCCACTGCATCCCACTCGGCGTCGAAGTCTCCTTAGGCAAAGTGCTCTCCTGACAGCTGTACAAACCACAGAAGCCAAAAAACACGCAAACAGTAACAAACTGACAAAACCACATACCCAACAAAATGCCACACAAAAACCTAGCCAATGTAGCCAATGCTCGTCCGAAAGGTTGCCTGTGACAACCAGACAGCAAACAGAACATGAAAGAACATGACAGAACATCATCTAAACCCGAAAGCTCCTTTGCCGCAGAGCTTTCTGGAAACCCTGGTGATGGTGGAAATCCAGTAGAGGACTCTGCCGTCACCTTCACGGAAAAAAAACAATCAGAGCCAACCATGGCAACCTACACACGTTGTGACCGAAACAGTCTCTAAATTCCTGTTCCTAAATTACCTAAATGGTTGGATTTCCTCATCCTTCTTCAACATCATCAAAGCTCGAAACAAAGCAAAACAAATGACTGAAACAGTGCTTCAAGGTCCCTCAACATCTTTGGTGGAGCCCAGCATGAAGCCCAGCAGTCAACGAACTTCAAGCATTACATGCATCAACAAACATCAACATCCATCAACAGAATCCCATGTACACAAGCACTGCTTGCTGACAGCGCCTCAGCACTAGGCAGGGCACTGCCTGGCCACTGCATCCCACTCGGTGTCGAGGTCTCCTTTGGCAAAGGGCTCTCCTGACAGCTGTACAAACCACAGAAGCCAAAAAACACGCAAACAGTAACAAACTCACAAAACCACATACCCAACAAAATGCCACACAAAAAACCTAGCCAATGTAGCCAATGCTCGTCTGAAAGGTTACCTGTGACAACCAAAAAGTAAATGGACAGAACATCATCTAAACCCGAAAGCTCCTTTGCCGCAGAGCTTTCTGGAAACCCTGGTGATGGTGGAAATCCAATAGAGGACTCTGCCGTCACCTTCACGGAAAAAAAAACAATCAGAGCCAACAATATGCTAGCAATGGCAAATCTACAGGCTTTTGTGACCGATGCACTCACTAAATGCTGATTGCTTCAACATCTTCAGAGCTCAACCACAACAGCATAATGGAAGACTGCAACACTGCTTCAAGGTCCCTTAACACTTTGGATGAGACAAAGCAGTCACCAAACGTCAAGGGTTACATGCATCAACACACATCAACATCCATCAACATGCATCAACAGAATCGCATGCACACAAGCACTGCTTGCTGACAGCGCCTCAGCACTAGGCAGGGCACTGCCTGGCCACTGCATCCCACTCTGTGTCGAGGTCTCCTTTGGCAAAGGGCTCTCCTGAACGGCGGCCACAAAATCACAAATCTAGGCAAATTCCTGAGCAAAGCCTAGCTAATGCTACTTGGAGATGATGTGTGTGAAAAGATTGGCATGCGAACTGACCATGACAAAAGCGCCTTTGCCGTGGAGGCTTCTGGAAACCCTGGGGATGCTGGAAATCCCTGGGCAGTTTGTTGCTGCAAGGAGCCACTTGGCATGTCCTCCGGTTGAGAGCTCTTGAGACGTGTTGTGCCAATGTCCCTTTAAGTATTTCCTATGGTCAATCCATGTCAATCAATCCAAACATTCTTGTTTTTTTGGTTGTTCCCCCAAAACAAGCTCAATTCTGAGTTGTAAAAACCTTGGTACACCCGTTTCCAAAAAACGCTAGCGATCTTGCATTGCCACACTGCATATTCGTTTGATCGTGAAATCTCCTTCACTGGAGATGCTTCTGGGAATCCTGGAGAAGCTGGAAATCTTCCGAGCGTTGTCGCAGCCTTCAACTGAAATCAATGCATTCTACACGGTTGAGCTTTCTGAAATCAAGAAATTGGTCAACTGGGACGGAGAAATAAGACATAATAAGACTTGAAACCAGCCAGCTGCTCAAGCAACACACATCGCATTATTCAACAGGCTTTCCATAGCATCAGTATGCATCAGTCTTGACTGTCTTGACGACCACAAAAGACATCATTGGTGACCACATTGTCGCCTCATCCGCTTCAAAAGCAGATGAAAATCCTGGTGATTCAGCAACCTGCATGACCCGAGGCATGGGGAAGCAAATCATGTCCATCTTGTGGGGCATGCTGCATGCTGCATGCTGACATATCAAAGCAGTTCCAGAGATTTATATGATTTATGAATGACTCACAGCTCGGCTCCGGGCACTGCACTATAAGCCCATCATATTTCCATCATGTGTCCATCATCTTCCCCATTTCTGGACAATCACCGACACCAATCAAGCTCTGACCAAACAGTCGAGCCAAATTTCCCCCAGTTATGACCAAACATTTAGCCCTTTAGTGAACTACCCAAGCTAGTCCCAAGGTCTTCCAAAGCTTCCCCAGTCGGTCTTATATACTCCACGCTGCGGCTGCACCTGCGTTGACATCGGCCATGTCATTGAAGCATGGCTGTCCTGGAGGGCCAGCCCTCAGAATCCCGTCCTTCCAAATGGGGTCTGTCATAGTTCCAGAAATGGTCAAATCACATCAAAATAACCATCAAACAATAGGGAAAAATTGAGGAAAACTCGTACCTGCGATCCATTTGGCTGACCGCTCAGGATTGGTTCGCCCACCTAGTGAGCTGCTCGGTTTGGCGAGGTGAGTCACTCTGAAGACTAACCCGGGTAACCCGGATCTTTGTCTGGGAATATGATATATATATAATATATATATAATATGTATATATTATGATATAATGAGGTGATCTGAATTTGACCATGACACGACAGAATTGTATCAACTGCCGCGTCTGTCTGTTAGGCCCACCTGAACGCCAGAGGGCAAGTTGCGCAGTGTCAATTCCAAGTGTGAAACCCAAGTTCATGCAACCCTTATCATCCCCTCCACTTAGTACACATATTAGCAGTATTCCAACACACCCCAATTGATGCCTGGAGTCCGAATGTTGCAATTTTCTTGGTGTAGCAAAATAGGTTTTTCACTGGGTGACGCTTGCCAGCAGCCAGGTCCAGGCACCTCGTCATCTGAGTCTACCACATTTCCCTAGCGAGAATTGGGGAGGCGGCATTGCCAACATTCGCATCATCCGTCTCCAATGTCAAGTCCGGATAGATGTCGACCCCAGGATACCCCAGGGCTGTGAAATTGGAAGCGGGATCAGCAGCCCTAATTAAAACAAAAAGGGCACCCATACTATATGTGTACAACAAAAATATACAAAAAATATAAAACTAGAAAGAATGACTTCCACACCCCATAGGAACATCCACACCAACTATATCATGGCCTGCACCAGTGGAAACGCTGATTCACCAAAGGCCTCGCACAAAAACCCTCCAACGGCATTTCACCACATATTTGTTTCGGCAAACAATGTACTCATCTACTGATTCTACTCATAAGGGCCCATAGCAATTATAGTGTAACTTGGTTCAGAAATCATTTAAAATCAAAATCATTTGAAATCATGTTTAATTTAAATGTAGATAAGCCTAGCGACGTGGAGTATACAGCAAAACGATGTGAAACGATGAAACCACAAACATCAGCAACTGGCTGCTTACCATCATTGTGGTTCTGGCCTCGTTCCAGGTCTCATGGGATGCTAGCACCGTCCCCTGCAGTGGCACATGCATCAGATGAGGGAATCTCTGTTTTGGAGGGGTCTAACCGATTCTATGACCATGGCAAGAAGTGGTGCAGCTATCTTTTCTACTGTAAACTAATTATTCTATAAATATATTTAAAGATTTATAAATATATAATTAATTACATATAATATCACATACATGACATACCTATCTGATCCTACAAGTATCTGTTTTGTCCCATCTCCCATCGCTCCATCTCTCCCCCCTGTATACCTCGATGATGTCGGAGCCTTTCCGTTCCTGCCAGGGGGGCGATGCATCAATCAAATGAATCGCAACTTAATGGTTGCGGGGGATTCTTTACCTATTTAGCGTATAGTGAATGAACCCTTGCGAATGGGAAAGGAATAGCGCGTATCTCCCAACAATTCTTCTCGGAAGGCTGACATGTTTTCGGATAGAAGCTGCACAAAGCTTGCTACCAGGTTCTTGTTCCCCCGCTTTGGCCTTTGAAATCCCAGCCAGGTCTGAGAAGCTTTTTCGAAGGAGGAGATCATACTAAAAACAGACTAAAACTTCCTCAAAACCGCCATCAAAGTGGCATCAATTTTGTGTCTTGAGGCTGTGAACTCTTTTAGCCCAAGCAGCGCCTTGCTTCTTGCAGAGCGACGGCTCAAGCTGCCTTGGGGGACGCAACTGTGGAAAGCCGGTAATTTGAGCACATGATTCTGGCAAGTTCTGGCACAGGTTTAGATTTCTAGAACATGATGAGCATGTAGATCATCATGTCGTCATTTCCCTTAACATCCCGGCGTTGCCTGTGGCCATGGCGGCCAAACCAATAGAACCCAAGAGCGCCTGCAGGGGTGGCAAACACTGAGATACAGGTGGTCCCGCTGAAACTAGGGATTCCTAACGGATTGGAATCGTGCCAGGATGTGCCAGGGAAGTTCTTAGAAATTCTTCATTCCAAGTACTAACTAGTAGAAACCCAAAGGAGAGGATGCAGGTCGTCATGCCATGCAAAACAACCGAATTCGGAGGGATGCTTCCAAAAAGTTACTCAAAAACATTCAAAAACAACCAACTGCTGTCGATTCAAAGGTTCAGGCCTTCTGATGTTCCAGGAGCTTGGACGATCGTTGCCTGTCACACAAAAATATGTCTCTATGGTAAGTAGATGTGGCAGTGGGTCCAAACATGATCAAACATCACATATGTATCTATAAAATTACACGTGTGTCTTATCGTCCAGAAAATTAAGTAGAAAACAACACCAAGTAAAAACAACTAATCGTTTTTTACATCCCACCGGCTCGAACAATTTTCCACACACCATCTTGGTTGATCCGCACCTGGTGCTTGCAATGGATGGCCTGGCGAGATTGAAAAAACATATTTTTAGGCATGAAGATCCAAGTTGAAATTTGAGCCAAACGCCCGAAAAATATCAAGAAATACTGGTACTTTTGGATGTACTTGGATCAATCATCCCAGATTCTGACATATTCCGATGGAGATACTTTGAAACCAGGATTGGCAAACCACAATTTTGTCCAATCTGTAGCCCCCCCCAGCCCCAACCAGTGCCGCATCTTCGACCCCTGGCGCCTCGAATCTTCCACCTGTGCCTGAGATGGTTTGGGGTGCCCAATCTGGAGACGTCAACGCGATACAAGCATTTGCCCCCGTGAATTGCAGCCCAACAGGGATGGGAATTTCAAAGATGAAGATGGTTGAACAATATCATCTGGCCAAATTACTTTAATTCTTACCTCGTCTCCCTCGTGTCTTAATTTGTTCCCCGTGATTACTGTCCTCGTTCGTTAATTTGCAGGTGCAAATTAAGGCTTTACCTCGTTAATTCGAAGGAAGAAAGTAGCTTGTGGGCCTTCTTTCCAGGGTCCAACCCCAAGGAAAAAACTTTTCAGAAGCTCACGATCCACGGTCTCTTGCAGGGATTTTTAAATCTGAGTCTGATCGGTCTTTGCGCTTCTTGCGCTTGGGTGGTGACATCTCTGACATTATCGCAGAGATGCAATGCTCTTCTGGAGCAACTCTGAATCCTACTGCTTCTGCAGCCGTCAACCCACGAAGCGGGCCTCTGGCGATAGAAAATAAAACTTTTTGGGGCCTGAAAAGTTTTTTTTCCTTCCTTGCCTGCTGACCGGCCTCTGGCGATAGAAAATACAACTTTTTGGGGCCTGAAAAGTTTTTTTTTCCTTCCTTGCCTGCTGACTGGCCTCTGGCGAGCGATAGAAAAAAAAACTTTTTGGGGCCTGAAAAGTTTTTTTTTCCTTCCTTGCCTGCTGACCGGCCTCTGGCGATAGAAACTTTTTGGGGCCTGAAAAGTTCTTTTCCCTTCCTTGCCTGCTGGCCGGCCTCTGGCGATAGAAAATAAAACTTTTTGGGGCCTGAAAAGTTTTTTTTCCTTCCTTGCCTGCTGACCGGCCTCTGGCGATAGAAAATAAAACTTTTTGGGGCCTGAAAAGTTTTTTTTCCTTCCTTGCCTGCTGACCGGCCTCTGGCGATAGAAAATAAAACTTTTTGGGGCCTGAAAAGTTGTTTTTCCTTCCTTGCCTGCTGACCGGCCTCTAGCGATAGAAAATAAAACTTTTTGGGGCCTGAAAAGTTTTTTTCCTTCCTTGCCTGCTGACCGGCCTCTGGCGATAGAAAATAAAACTTTTTGGGGCCTGAAAAGTTTTTTTTTCCTTCCTTGCCTGCTGACCGGCCTCTAGCGATAGAAAATAAAACTTTTTGGGGCCTGAAAAGTTGTTTTTTCCTTCCTTGCCTGCTGACCGGCCTCTGGCTATAGAAAATAAAACTTTTTGGGGCCTGAAAAGTTTTTTTTCCTTCCTTGCCTGCTGACAAGGCCTCTGGCGATAGAAAATAAAACTTTTTGGGGCCTGAAAAGTTTTTTTTCCTTCCTTGCCTGCTGACCGGCCTCTGGCGATAGAAAATAAAACTTTTTGGGGCCTGAAAAGTTTTTTTCCTTCCTTGCCTGCTGACTGGCCTCTGGCGATAGAAAATAAAACTTTTTGGGGCCTGAAAAGTTTTTTTTCCTTCCTTGCCTGCTGACCGGCCTCTGGCGATAGAAAATAAAACTTTTTGGGGCCTGAAAAGTTGTTTTTCCTTCCTTGCCTGCTGACCGGCCTCTGGCGATAGAAAATAAAACTTTTTGGGGCCTGAAAAGTTGTTTTTCCTTCCTTGCCTGCTGACCGGCCTCTGGCGATAGAAAATAAAACTTTTTGGGGCCTGAAAAGTTTTTTTTTCCTTCCTTGCCTGCTGACCGGCCTCTGGCCCCCAAAAAAGTTTTTCTAGCCAAGCCCAAGCATGCAACAGAGCCAATGCAAGGCTACCTCGTCGAGGTCGTCTAATTCTGATGAGCAAATTAAGGGCTGACCTCGCTAATTCCTGCAACCTGCCTCGTTGCCTCGGCTGTCCTCGCTATAATTTGTGCAGATATCATGTTAAACAGTAAACATATTTAAATATAGTGTATATATAATTCTAAATAATATATTAAATAATATAATGTTGAACAGTAAACATATTCAAGTAATTTCAAATAAAACCTTGATCCTGGTAAACAGCACACTGGCAAAATGGATGTTCATCACCATTTCCTATTTGAAACAACCAGCATATTACACCTGCACCAATCTACAGCAATTCAAAGGAGTTTTCAGCTCCCACCACCGGCCTCTGGCCATTTGAAGTGTCCAGATCGTCCAGATGTGACCTGCCAAGGTCATTCTACAGCCCCTTTGATTCGTCAGGTTCTTAGCTTTTGGAGATCAAACGAAGGGTTCCACCGGTGTGCTGATAGCATCATCTCCAAACATGATGGTGGCGATATGTTTCACTGATTCACACCCCTAAAATAAAACATTAATCTTATTTACAGTGTACAGTATATCATCATGTACATCTCCCAACGGAAAAACGGATAGACTTCAGGCTCCTCCCTTTCCAGTTGCCCTCTATCTCTTCACACAGACTAACGCCAACACACCGTAAACCAGACAACTTTTGATCGCTTTTGCTCTGCGGCAAGCAACTGGTGCAAATTTCATTAGCCCCCACAGCCGTAAGCTAATGGGTTCTTCAGCCCAGAAATGCCCAGAATAGCTCCGGTGTGCACTAGGTTCAACCAGGTTACGGAGAAGCTTCCGGTGAAGGTCTGGGAGGCTTTGGTGCAGAGCCAAGTCACGTTCAACAGGGTTCCGGAAAAGGGAGGCTTCAGTGCCGAGCCAGGTCAGGTTCAACAGGGTTCCGGAAAAGGTTCCGGAGAAAGTCTGGGAGGCGTTGGTGCAAAGCCAGGTCAGGTTCAACAGGCTTCCGGAAAAGGTTCCGGAGAAAGTCTGGGAGGCTTTGGTGCAGAGCCAGGTCAGGTTCAACAGGGTTCCGGAGAAGGTTCCGGAGAAGGTCTGGGAGGCTTTGGTGCAGAGTCAGGTCAGGTTCAACAGGGTTCCGGAGAAGGTTCCGGAGAAGGTGTGGGAGGCTTTGGTGCAGAGCCAGGTCAGTTTCAACAGGTTGCGGAGAAGTTGTGGGAGGCTCTGGTGCAGAGCCAGGTTAGGTTCAACCGTAGCAGGTTCCAGAGAAGGGTTGCGGGAGGCTTTGGTGCAGAGCCAGGTCAGGTTCAACAGCGTTCTGGGGAAGGTTCCGGAGGGGCTAATGATCAAAAAAAATATTAGTGGTATCGAAAAGTATCCAAAAGGATCAAAAGAATTCAAAAGACATATTATTGGTATCAAAAAAATTATCCCCGGAAACTCATACCCTCATCAACCATTGAGCGCACCACTTTCTCCACATTGCGCACCAATTGCTCTCATCGCTAACTCAGATGCTAATGCCAATGCGTCGGTCTCCGGACTGTTACTGCACATATGTCGGCCTGTCTGCATTCATATGTGGATGTATGCATGTACGCACGTGTGCATGTATGTCTGTATATGTCTGTATGCATGTCGTTAGTGGATGTATGCATGAACACGCGCCCGTGCATGTATATCTGTATGCATGTCTGCATGTACGTATGTTTTAAAGGAGCATTCTTCTACTGGATGTGTCTTACTTTTGCCTGAAGGCCCAAAGACCAGTCCCTTCCCCCTATTACTAAACCCCCCCAAATAACAAAAACTAGGGTCCATCTCCAATTTAAGAAAAATTCAGATTGGCCAATTTGACTTTTAATTGATCCCCTTTAGAAAACAATTTAAAAATAAAACTACCATTTGTGGGTTTCGCCCCTCAATAATAAAAACTAGTCAACCCCCGGGGTCCGTCCGAAAATTTTTACTTTTGTATATTAGGGCTTTTAATTTATTATTAGGACCCGCTTCGAAAACCAATTTTTGGCAATATTTTATTTGCGTTATATAAGGAAATTTAATTGATTTTGAAGTCGAAAAAAGTATTATTAAGGTTTTGAATTTATTAACAGGGTCGGCTTCGAAATCCAATTCTTGGCAATATTTCAATTCCGGTTTAAAGGGAAATTTAATTGATTTTGAAATCGGAAAAAATAGTTTTTACTATTTGGGTTTTAAACTTATTAAAAGGGTTCCCTAATAATAAATACCCCCCTAATAATAAAACTACCTGAAGTGTTTATTATTTGGGGAAGGGGGGATAGTATTAGGGGGAAGGGATTAGGATGCCAACATAAGGCAGCAACTCAAGATGTAGCGGTACGCTGTAAACATGCGCGCAGGTGCGCATGTGGCGGCCTGCGCAGTGCGAAGCAGATCTACTCATTGGGAGGGTAGGCATGGCAGTGCCATACCTATGTAGGAAGGCACTAACATCAAGGCGCCAGCAAAAGGTCGCAAATTCAAGATGTAGCAGTGTGCTTCAAACATGCGCACAGGCGCGCATATTGCAGCTTGTCCAGTGCAAAGCAGATCTACTCATGAGGGAGGGTAGGAATGGCAGTGCCATACCTGTGTGAAGGCACAAACATCAAGACGCCAGCAGAAGGATTGCAGACTCAGCATATAGCAGTACGTGTTAAACCTGTGCACAGTTGCGCATACAGCTCCGCACAAGATGTACCAGTATGCTCTAAGCTTGGGCGCCGTTCTGCGCAAAGCAGATCTACTCATGAGGCAGGGTAGACATGGCCCTTGCAACGTGGTGAAGCTGCAACTTTCTAATTTGCTGCTTTCCTTGCTTTCTACCCTCCTTCCTTCCTTCCTTCCTTCTTTCCTTCCCTCTCCCAGAATATGTTTTTTGGATCCCGATAATATTTTTTTGATCCTAATAATAGTTTTTTTTGATCCTAATATTTTTTTTTGATGCGTATCCCTGTTCCGGAGAAGGTCTGGGAGGCTTTGGTGCAGAGCCAGGTCAGGTTCAACAGGGTTCCGGAGAAGGTTCCGAAAAAGGTCTAGGAGGCTTTGGTGCAGAGCCAGGTCAGGTTCAACAGGATTTGCGGCCATTTAACACACGGAAACTCAGCTGAGGTGTTTCCAGCGCTTGGCTTCGCAACACGCTTCAGAAAGATTTGTAAAAATAAAACGTTGCGGCTGTTGGGGATACCACCGAAGCTTGTTTGAGACACCAAGGGCATCCATGGGCCCATTGCGGCTCCTTTGGCCCTTGACGGCTCATTTCGCCGCATCTTGCTTCAAAGGCTATGGACAAAACATGGTCTACAAGGATCTGATCCCAACATTTCTGGCGTTTCCTTCGGCAACGCTACAAAGGAACTCAAGCCACGCCGTGGTGTAGACTCAAAGGGCATTCTTCAAACTTGCTTCCAAGCTCTGTACTGCTGCGAAGACCAAACTGCGTGCAAAGTATCACTCAACCACGAAATTCTTTTATCACGGACGTGTCTGGCCGGTGGCTTCCAAACCAAAAATCGTCAAACAGAATTCCCAATCCTCAAAAAACAGGAACAGCAAATCTACAGCCTCCCAAACCACGGTAAACCGCCATAAACCGCCATAAACCACCAACCAGTTGTTGAAAGGCCATCTTTGTGCCCTGCCAGGGCCCTCAAGATCCTCAAGCCGATTGCTGTTTTTTTTGTGCGCTGACCGCACGTAGTGCACCCAGGATTTCCTCCACGCGCTTGTCACTTGCCTGTGCCATGCGTCTCCAGACGTCCAGGGAGTGGTGGTTATGGTAGGGGAGAATTACCGCCCCAAATAAGGGTTCAATCAGCGAAAATGAGGGGTTTAGGATGAGTTTATGAGTTTACAACCAACAGCAAATACAAAAAATGAGAAAACAAATGGTTCCATACTGAGAAGTCATGCCTTAAACCTGCATGTGTCTGACCAAATGTTCAAGAACACCCACAGTGATGCTTTGAAAATCCAGCATCAAACTTGGTCACCTCATGGAAAAGAGGGGGTCCCTGGTTAAGACTGTTGGCCAAGCTGCCTCCATCTGCCCCTGCAGTTTTTCTTCTAGCGCCTGGAAGGGCGAACACTGGTGATATGCGGCGTTGCCCAAAGATTGGAGATGCCCCAAATGGATCAAAACTGGTATTGGGCAATTACATGATCATCAAATACTGGACAGGATTTCGGGCTACTTTCTTTTCAATCAATTCCATGTTCAACGATGGGCATGCGCACTTGAGACTGAGCAAACGAGTTTGTCATGGGGCAGCAAGAGTAGACATTAACTCCGCAAGTCATGGGATTTTTTTCAAAACAAATGTATCTGAGCCCTACGCCCAAAATCAACTAAGATTGATTTGAATCTTGAACTGTCGGAGTGTCGGAGTGCTAGGAATTTTGAACACACACGGGATTTTAAAATCATATATGTATATAATCCCCCTTTGTATTAAGTGAAAGGGTTGGTGTTGACAATTTTATAGTGATAAATCAGGAGGACATGACCCCCCTTTCCGAAAATGCATCTATAGAATCAGAGACCCCAAGGTATTTTCAAGTTGACAATCTCTATAGAATCGATGCCGCCAAGTCACTCTCGTAGATGGTTGGGGGGGTTAGTTGGCCTTCTATAAAATCAGGCTCCCCAACCCTTCTTTATTGACAGCTGACCTGAATACTCTAGTTGCTCTTGCCCATCTTGCCTTATGCACTTCAACTTTATAGAGCCCAAAGGCTCCAAGTGTTCACTGTCAACCCCTTCAATTTTATAGACTGGTGAAAAATGCCTGAAAGATCTTGAAAGTCGCTCTGTTTCATTTTGTTTCCATCTGTTTCCATCCGTTTGCTCTTTTTTAGCGGAAAGGCGGAAAGGCTGGCTCAAGGACTTCGACCCAAAAACGGTGAGACACACTGGGGAGACACAACGGGGAGAAAGAAAGGGGAGACACAACGGGGAGACACAACGGGAAAATAATGCAAAATGAAAAATGTCACTTTTATAGTTTGTAAACCAGAAAAAACTGTTTTTGTAAGATATTGAAATGTCAAAATTGTACATATTTGCTGAATATAACTGATGATAACTGATGAAACCCTGATGATGGATCTCCAACAAATCTCCAATATATCCCAAAAGTATCCAAAAGTATCCAAAAGTTTCCAAAAATATGTCAAGATTCCAAATGATTCCAAAATATACAAGGATGATCAAGGATGATCAAGGATGATCAAAGAATTGTTGTGGGAAATTGGTTCTGCCAATACTTCTCTATAAAATTGAAGAACATGACATACATCCAAAGAGAACATATCCCACTGTAGAATCGCAGTCCCTAAGACTCTCTGCTGACTAGTCCTCAGTGCTGTATTCAACATGAAATCTCTATAGAATTGAGGCCCCAAGGTCCTCTATAAAATTGTAAGCGTTGACGTTGGGTAGGTACCCCTTATTAAGTCAGGGGGTTAAAATGCACCATTTTCCTGGCCCCAACGTTCTCAATTCTGTAGAGGAAATTCCAAGGGCGATTGTATATATATATATATGTAGAGTTAATATATTAATACAGTATATATATACATATTATCTCTATTACCCTACTATAAAATAAACCATCGACAAATGGCAAATCCACCGGTCCTTTCCCCGCGCCTGCACGCTTCGATGTAATTCCTGGGAGCTCTGGATTCAACATACAGTTGGTAACTATTGGTAACTATGAAACAACTAATGTTATTATAACAGGATAAAAAGGGGATAAAATAATGGGATTATCATGAAACAAAACATTTAAGGTAAATAATATGGGATTATCATGAAAAACCAAAGGTGAATGTGTAACCAATAAAATGATGTGAAATGGTGATCAAACCTTGCTGTACCTTGCCGCCATGTGTTCAAAACACAAGCACCAAAAATTGCAAAGTGTCCCAGCACCACAAATGTCAATTTGGTTTCCACCAACCATTGGGATATGACACCCGTATATAGACTGGGTACAGGGTCAATCAAATTACACATGCGTAGACATCCCAAGAATTTGGCTCAAAATCTCAATCTCAATCAGTTCGTTGTTGTGATGTTCACCAGATTTCACCAACAGATTTCGCCAGGGTGATATATTCGATACCTGCATAGTTTTGAGCAAACAACAGTAGCATGAATGAAATCCCGAATCCCGAAGCATTCCTCTTTCGATTCAAGTGGCTTAGAATTTCCCACAGCTGGGCCTTCAGCAAGCCTACCCTCAGCAAAGACAGATCAAACATGTAACCAGTTTATTTGAACAGTTGTGCAATGGGTAGGAGATGGCTATGATCATTTGTAATCTGTTTTATATGTCTATTGATCAGCATTCATTCCTATCCATTCCTTAGTTTTTATGTGTTATATATGTATATGGCTATGGATCAGACCCCAAATATCCTTCTATTCACATCAAACTAGCTGGTGCTCATGGACGTTCACCCCCCAACTAAATCCAAATATGTCCAAATATGGCACCCTAGGTTTTGACAAATGCCAATATCAATTCCCCATGATATATGTTTATGGCTGTATACCCATTAGTGTATTCCCACATTAGATGGTAAAACCCATGGCTAAACCCCCATGATTCCAATCTTTTCCAGTGAGACAGTCCAACCAAATCCTTGTGGTTTGATACCCATCGTATTCCCATTTCAGATGGACACCTGAAAATGCTAATCCCCATCATTGCAAATTATTCCCGAGTGGATATTGCGTATTGTATAACTCATATCCCCATTATTTCATATGAGTTCCCAATACTATATTCCCATTCTTGCTAGTTGAATCCCAATCATTTCAGATGAGTTCCCATTACATCTATCTTGTATAAACCCTCCAAAACTGGATAAACTATCCCCTTCACTGTACATGGTATAATAACCCTTCATTGGTTCGTTTACCCACATTATATCCCATCATATCCCAAATTATAGCCATATATTACTACTATCCCAATATAGCCACATATCTTTATAATTATAATCTCAATGATATTCCAAATTATATTCCAAATAGCCAAGATGTATCAATATGTCGGATACTATTATAATGGGATATTAAATATTTTGGGATATCATTATAATCATTATAATGGGATATCATAAAAATAACAATAATAATACTAACATTGAATAATAATAATAACATTAAATAATAATAACAATAAATAATAATAATAATATTTTCATGGAGCCATGTTTTCCCATGTTTTTCCAAGGCTCCAAGCTCTGCTGCGTCTTCCTCCGCAGCTCGTCTTCCAAGGCCCGCGGCCCCGGCCCCGGAGACGCCGTCGCGGAGGGGCGGGTCGTGCGCAGCAGCTGACAGCGCGACAGCGCCAGGCGCCGGAGGCCGGAACCTGGGGAGAAACGGGAGATTTGGTAGGATTTATGGGTTAAACGTATGGCTAAATCTGGGTGAAATATGTATGTATATATATATATATATCTCTCTCTCTCTCTCTGTATATATATATATAAATACATAATATAATCGAAGGAAGTTTAGAAGTCAAACTTCCGACAATATGGACAGATGAAAAGCAGAGATGGAAAGGGTCAGAGAGAAGAGAAAGATTAGAAGAGAGAAGAGTAGAAGAGAAAGAGTCAGAAGAAAGAAGATGCAGATGCGCGAAAAGGTAGGAAAGTCGCGATTCACTGTGTTTTTCCATCCCTGTTGGAATTCCCCTGCTAACATGGACTCCTGCATTCTTTAGACAAAAAACGGCGGACTACTGAAATGGCACATTTAAAGAATGCCAACCCAGGGATCAAGGGGGTCTAAGACCATCTAAAAAATCATGGCCCAGGCAACCAACTACAAAAAAACACAAAAAATACATAAAAAAAATGCAAGAAAATACAAATACAAAAGCAGAACTCTAAAAAATAGGGAGTCCGTGTTAGCCATGTGGATGTCAAGCAGTATAAAACTACCCAATGTGCCCACATGATTGCTTGACTCATCTGTGATGCAAACAGTGGCCGGCGCACAACAGCAGTTTTACCAATTTGCAAAAATTCAATCAGCTTGTCTATTCCCTCTCAAAATGCCCTCTCTAAAAAATCCTGACCCAGGAAGCCTTTGCAAAAAATGGGGAGTCCGGGTTCGCCATGTGGATTTACCACCAGTTTTAGCAAAAAAACGTTTTGTGCGACAACCCAGGTTGTCCCATTCTTTAGTGGAAATTCGAAGGGGGATGTTTTTCCAATGATTTGTAGCTCCGGGGGGTCGAAAAGTAGGCTCGCTAAAGCGGCGGGTGCGGAGCCAGCTGGCCGGATGAGAGATGAAAAATTGCACGCCGTTGTGGCGCGAAGCACATTTCGAAGTCAAAATGTACAAAGCACACCAGCTTCGGACCATTTTTACTAGTTGAGATGTCGAAAAAGTGCACGCCGTTGTGGTGCGAAGCACATTTCGAAGTCAAAATGTACAAAGCACCTCAGCGTCGGACCACTTTTGGAAGTTGCGATGTCGAAAAAGTGCACCGCGTTGTGGCGCGAAGCACATTTCCAAGTGAAAATGTACAAAACATACCATTGTCGGACCACTTTTGGAAGGTGAGATGTCGAAAAAGTGCACGCCGTTGTGGTGCGAAGCGCATTTCGAAGTCAAAATGTACAAAACACCTCAGCGTTGGACCACTTTTGGAAGTTGCGATGTCGAAAAAGTGCACGGCGTTGTGGCGCGAAGCACATTTCGAAGTCAAAATGTTCAAAACACTAGGGGTTCGGACCACTTTTGGAGGTTCCGATGTGGAAAAAGTGCAGCGAAGCACATTTCGAAGTCAAAATGTTAAAAACACAAGGGGTTCGGACCTCTTTTAAAGGTTCAGATGTCGCTTCGCTTCACTACACTACACTACACTCCACTACACTACACTACATTACACTACACTACACTCCACAACATTACAACTACAACTACACAACTACACTCCACTACACTCCACTGCACTCCACTACACTACATTACACTACACTATATACATTACACTACACTACACTCCGCTACACTACACTATATACATTACACTACACTACCTTCCACTACACTTCACTACATTACACTACACTACACTCCACTACACTACAACTACAACTACAACTACAACTACACAACTACACTCCACTACACTCCACTACACTCCACTTCACTCCACTACACTACACTACATTACACTACAGTACATTACACTACACTACACTACACTCCACTACACTACATTACACTACACCACACTCCACAACACTACAACTACAACCACACAACTACACAACTACACTCCACTACACTCCACTACACTCCACTACACTAAATTACACTACACTACACTACATTACACTACACTCCACTACACTACATTACATACACTACACTACACTACCTTCCACTACACTTCACTACATTACACTACACTACACTCCACTACACTACAACTACAACTACAACTATACAACTACACTGCACTACACAAAATTACACTACACTACACTACATTACACTACACTACACTCCACTACACTACATTCCACTACACTACACTACCTTCCACTACACTCCACTACACTAAATTACACTACACTACACAACCTTACACTACACTACACTACATTCCACTACACTCCACTACACTACATTACACTACACTCAATTACGCTGAATGACACTGCACCACAGATAGACAGGTAGACAGATAGACAGATGAAAGAGAGAGATAGATAGATAGATCGATAGATAGATAGATACATAGAAGATAGATAGGTAGGTAGGTAGATAGTCAGAGAAAGAGAGCGAAAGAGAGGAGACCTCAAGGACCTTTCGGTCCATCAGTGGATTCGCTCTGCCATCCCTGATTCACAACAACCAACCTCTCCTATAGGTTTCCTATTTTTAAAACTTCCGCCACCGCCTTGTGCGGTACTACTGGTATAACATATAGATAATTATATACATGGAATTATATATATATGAATATGGTTATATGAATATGGTTGTATGGATATGGTTGAATACATGGTGAAATGACCCAGGGATCTGGAATTCAAAGGATATGTTTTCGCAAGAAAGATGAATGGATATCTGATGCAAACATATCAAGTGGTACATATTAGGCCAACAACCGGGAGTCAAACTAAATGCTGCAATGGGCATGTACAAACATGTACAAACTAATCATGGTCAGCAACAATTGGGGCGTGGATAGCGAATGAAACTCAGGTGACATGAAAGTTGGTCAACAGTATGTGGTATACAAAAACATGGTTCATAGATGTTCATACAATCGACCAATCCATGTCTATGCCGTTGCTGCGGAGCGAACAGTGATGCATCATCAAGAATAGAGGTTAGAGGAATGGAACATGATAGCCAATAGTGATGGAGGCTGTAGACAGGAAACGACACTAGGACTAGACATCACAGACTCTGGTAACCCTGGTACTGAAAAGACAACCAAGGGTCATTCAATCATTGCGTACCCAAAAATCAGAGGCCTTCATATCGGCATATCACAGCATATGATAGCACCTGCAAGAAATGAATCTATCAAGGTCTAGACTCTGGACACTGGAGGGTACAACAAAGCAAACATCATCATCATCATCATCATCATCATCATCAATCTAAAATAAATTGAAATACAATAGTAATATAGTAATTAATTACAGACATTTTTTAGTATAGACGTGACATATGTGATATGTGCCTGGTAAGGCACAGAGTTGCGCCGCCTCGGGCGAGGAGTTGAGGTAGGTCGTGCACATGGGATCGTCCACCAGGTTGGCTCGGCAGTCTCCGACCTCAAACTGACGGTTGTTTCATCAACACATTGAGGGACGAAAGAGGACCTGAAAACATCTGAACACATAACTATAACCTAACTATAATCTTTTAAACATCGCTAATACCTCCCGTGTTTTTCCGCTTCAGCTAACATCGCTGGATCTACACCCCAACCACCAACCACCAACCAACGGTTACCGCAGGCGCAGGTGCACCTTCTGGGGGCAAAATCGCAGCGTGTCCCCCGTGACGACGAAGGCGCCATGGCCCGCAGCGCGGCAGTGGTCTTTGCACTGCGCCAGCTGGACGGAGAGGTCCACCTGGAGCGTCTCGCCATCTTGGCCTGGACGGCCAAGGGAAGATCAATGTGATCTTCCAACAATGATTATATCCAACAATGATCATGGGAATCTGTAATTATATATTATACAGGATTTAACCAACAAAAAGTGATACTCTGGTTTGACTGGAAATGGGGACATCATAAATATCATAAGGACATTCTTGGTTTTCAGGTCGTTTATCGTCATTTATAGAATATCATATCATCAAGAATGTGATATGTTTGGGTGTGGCTGGAAATGGAGATGCCATGGGATACCTCAAAGCGTGGCGAGCCATCTCTGACAGGAAACCATGGAAGGTGTTGGTCATTGAGATCTGCAATGAAGCATGGGTAGCTCTCCTTCTTTGGTTGTTCTTGGGGCCAGAGAAAATGCTTCAGACTTTAGAATTCAAGTCAAGGTCTCGGTTTCCCTGACATGAAAGACACTTGGACACTTTTGCGGCGAGGTGTTGTGAATGACTTACCTACACTTCAGCAGTTTATTTCAGCAGTTCAAAGATGTTCCAAGTCTCGCCATGATAGTCCCTCGGCTTCCCTTGGTCCAATCCCGGCCTTTGAAACATGTCTGACCCAGGCATCGAATGAAGCCATCCTCCTGCACACAATTTTTCTCGATCTTGTGGAAACTGTCACTACTTACCCTCTGGTAAAATAACATAGCTGTAGAAAATGACAATCCGGTCCCCATCCTTAATAGGTAAATCAACTATAAAGGTGCCATTTTCAATAGCTATGTAACAAACCACCAACCAGGATACAATCGGTTCAGAAAAAGGAGTAACTAAGAGCAGGAGGCCCAGGCCTCAACATCCCAACTGGCTGGTCAACGTTCAACTGCTGTGGCACCTCGAAGATCCCCAAGTGGCTATGCCTCAAAATCAATAAGGGATATCCCTAAAATATAGCAAACATGCTACATAGATATATATCATAGTAGTAATAGTGTATAGTTATGTGTATATATATATATGTTATAAAACATTATTGAATAGCATACAAACTTACTTGTTCATTTTCATGCCATGCGCAAATTAGGGCCGTCCCCTATCAGTAGTGAAGGTTTTGCGCACCCCTCAGCAAGAACAAGGCGAAGCGAGCCTAAAGCAAGGCTAAATTAGCATTACAATATTTTTGGCGCTTACTCATAATTATATGATACTATTATCATGTAATATACATACCAACATATATAATACACATTCATATACCGCAGTATTTTTTGTTGGGCTTCCAAGTAATTTTTGGACACGAGAAAATTCACACCGTTTGGCGCTCCTCCTGACCTGGCAGCATGGCCAGCTGTCTTTGCCTGGCAGCGATCTGTTGACGCACCTCTTTCAGCTGGCTACCTGGGCACTGAGCTGGGATGAGTTGCTGTGCAAAATTTGGAAATTCCATGGACATTCCATGGAGAAATTCAATGACTGGGGTTTCCATATGGAATTTCCAAACTTCGAAAGTTGCTGGCAACGTTTTGTGAAGTGGGATGAAACGATGAAGAAATCCTGATCAATTCAATTGAGATCCCGTGAGCGAATGAGATTTGAATAGAGTTTACCAGCCAACATGGGGCATAAATGGCATAAAAGAAACATAAATGCAAAATTTGACGAATCAAACAAGGATATTCAATATGATTCTATGATCCAATATCCGATCCTGACTTCAAAGCAAAAATGAGCGGACATGCAACTGCTGGAAACGGATTCATGTAAGCCCGGTTGCTGCCACCCATCTGTGCCATCCCCAACTAATGGCTTCACCAACTGTGATTGAACATGACCACAAAACATCGTAGCTTCTGTAGATTCTCCAAATGGTGGATTAAAAAACCTCAAGAACCACCTGATAATTAACTGACTATAACTGACTCAGATATTTCAAGATATATATATTTCAAGAGAATATGATCCGTTCCCCATCTCCCTGTGCTCACCACAACTCTGTGCATCTGGCCACGAAGCTGTTCAGCCTCGGCCGGCCGCCCGGCCGGCGGCGGACCATCCAAGGGACCCCACCAATGGCCACCTGTGGAGGCCGCGCCGGCCACCGCCGTGGGTTCCCAGGTCGCCATCCGCGGCGATTTGTCACATGGGCCACGTGTGATATAAATGTGTATATATAATATGTGATTAATTGTGATTATATGTCTATATGTGGATATAAAATACAGCAAACAGATGTAAACAGATTGTAAATGCACATTCCACATGTCCTTTCCAAAAGCCTCGATCTCACTTGTACAGTCGTCGGTACATTTCGTGTCTCGGGCATCGAAGGCATGAAGGGCTGCAGCAAGCTCTTCTCCAATGCAGCCTAAAACTTGGATTGTCCATGCAAATGTTTGGATATGTTTGGATTTGGGGTCTCAAGTTTTGCTCAGTCATTGTTTGGGTGGTCTCTTGGGCCAAGTCTTTGCTGGCCTGCCACCGCCTGCATGCTGGAAGTCACCCCTTGCTCATCAGTGTTGCCTTGTGTATCTTACCACCCATCTGAGGTGATATGTGATGCACATCCCCACAATTCATCTGGCTCATTCACCCACTTCACCCTATAGCCCTATAGTTTATGCATGTTTATGCCAGCTGCTAATTCGCTGTCCCGTGGCAGAAACAACGACTAACAAGTTCAGAATGCAGAATCCAGTCATCAGTTTCCAGGAGGCTCCCAAGGCAATGGAATATCAACATGTTGGTTCGGTCCGAAAATGAGATACCTTCAATTCCAAAGGATTACCATGTCACATATATATATATACAGTATGTATGTACATATTCATTCTTATCCGTTTCTTTACATAAATGTCATATTATAAATGGCAAGTTGGAGTAAATCTCCCATTCCCCATGGCCACAACCCAGGTTTCCACCTGGACCGGCGTGGCCGAAGATCTTCTGGAGAGCCCTCGCATCAGCTGGTTCCCCGGGGAATGCCACGTATTGCAATGGAACGATTGGAACGTGGCCATTTGGAACCGGAAAATGATGGCACTTGTTAATTCAATGGCCATTTCAGGAACCTAAATTGGAGGTACCTACCATATATAAGGCCTATATAAGGCCTATGTAAGGGAATATCCCCACAAAATATGGCCTTATATGGTACAGTACCTCCATTTTAGGATCCTGGAATTCCCATTGATTAATTGCTATGTTTGTTCACCAGGTACATGAGCTACCATGCGTGGCTGTGATTGTATTACATCCTGTATGGCTGTATGCTTGCCAATCCTCAAGTGACTAGTGCAAATGGAGGAGTTTCAGGGGTTTCATGCTTGGGGAACCATCACTATATATAAAGATACGTATCAAAGAATATCATGGGTATAGCGTTGTAACATGTTGTAACTCTGTACACGGTGCAAATCTACTGGCTCCATATTCCCATGTTCATTAACCACATGCCAGTTGTTGATTAAACAGCAAATGTTCACAGGCCACAAGGCCACTTCCAAGGTTCGGTCCAGGCCTAGACCAATCGACTCCAACAAAGCCTAGCCAGGAAGCTTCTCATGGCAACTCACGGCATCTCAACAGAAAATTCAGAATAGAACGATGCAACTCATAGAATATGATTTTTATGCATATCTATATACATACATACACGATATACATACTCATGTATATATGTATATACACATTGTATGAACGGTATGTATATATATACAATACCTGGTTATACAATGTACATTGATATGATTAATGTGTATGAGTCTATGTATAATATGTATACATACATATGTGTTATAATATATATATATGTATAATTATATGATATCTTGTTGAGATCAAGAGTTACACACACACACAACGTTCTGCACTTCTCCCCTGGTCTTCGCCTTTCGCTGGGCCAGATTCTTGGCCAAGCGCGTTGTGCTGGTTGGGAGCAGCGGCCTCGTCCCCACATGGACGATGTCAGCTGATTGGTTTCCTAAAATGTGGCTACCCCAAATCTCCTGGTTAGACAATTAGAGTACTGAAACCAGAACTGAAACCCATTGGTTTTGGGCCTCCCCCATTTTAAGAAAGCCCTATATGTATATATATAATATAATTATACAATTATATATATATATATGTAATATATACGTATAATATATCAAACATCCCTATCAATGACCCCTGGAAAAGTACAGCAGCTGAACTCTGGGTCTTAGCTCCCGGACATGGAAGGGGATGTCGCCTGAAACCAATGATAATGAGTCCAAACGAAAAACACCACCAGCCATGCGGAGCTTGTGGGTGCAGGGATGGAACATGCCCCAACACCAAAGCTCATCGATCATTGTTTGAAGTTTGTGGATGTTAATGTTGGTCTACCAGAGAATCCAAAGAAACTATCAGTTTCCTACTGAAATCTCCGAAGCAACTTCTTCTCTAAGACATGCATTTTCAATCATCATTAGTCCGTTGTTGAAAAAATGCATTGCACGTGTTACTTCTGCATTTGCTGGTGTTGTATTGCAGGGCCCACATAGGACCAGGATCGTTCTCTTGAATTTCCATTGTCTCACTGTATCACTGTCAGTTCTATGGCTCCAAGGCTTCTGATTTCGTGCCTGTCCGTTCCTTGACGCATTTTCAGTGCACGCTACAGTGTTTTATCTGGATCATGAAGTTTCTCACTTGACAAAATCTACTTATGTATAGCCGTGTAGCATCTTAAAGTTGAATGATGTTTGATGATGTTTGATGTTTGTCCACCCAGACCCTTCCACCAAAATGGCACCTGACATGGCGCCTGAGGCACCATCCTTGGTAGTGATTTGGGTCCCTCAAAACTCGGCTGGACAGTTTCAAAATGCCAGCATGTGCATTTTCCATGTTCAGTTCTCTACCTTCTCTGATCTTCTCTGCCCTTCTCTGATCTTTCCTGCCGTTTCCGACAAGAAAATTACTTTACTTCGTGTGATCCCCACCATGACATTTATACATTTTCTTACTGGCAAATCTTCTGGCATTCTATCTGACATATCTTCTGACATTCTATTTGGCATTCTATCTGGCATATCTTCTGGCATATGATCTGGCATATCTTCTGGCATATCTTCTGGCATTCTATCTGGCAAATCTTCTGGCATTCTATCTGGCATATCTTCTGGCATTCTATCTGACATATCTTCTGGCATTCAATCTGGCATTCTATCTGGCATTCTATCTGGCATATCTTCTGGCATATATTCTGACATATCTTCTGGCATTTTATCTGGCATTCTATCTGACATATCTTCTGACATTCTATTTGGCATTCTATCTGGCATATCTTCTGGCATTCTATCTGACATATCTTCTGACATTCTATTTGGCATTCTATCTGGCAATCTTCTGGCATTCTATCTGGCATTCTATTTGGCATTCTATCTGGCACATCTTCTGGCATTCTATCTGACATCTTCTGACATTCTATTTGGCATTCTATCTGGCATATCTTCTGGCATATCTTCTGACATTCTTTCTGACATTCTTTCTAACTTTCTTCTGCACATTCTTTGTCCCATATCTTCCTACATGAGGTCCGGCAGGAACACTTGGCGTGGATACTCGCGGTTGAGGTCCGGCAGGGAACACTGGGCGTGGATGGTCGTGGTTGAGGTCCGGCAGGGAACACTGGGCGAGGATGGTCGTGGTTGAGGTCCGGCAGGGAACACTGGGCGTGGATGGTCGTGGTTGAGGTCCGGCAGGGAACACTGGGCGTGGAGGTCCGGTCACTGGGCGTGGATGGTCGTGGTTGAGGTCCGGCAGAGAACACTGTGGATCGCGGGTCGCAGTTGAGCAAGGACGACGAGGACGACGAGGACGACGAGGAGGACGAGGAGGAGGAGGAGAGGCGGAGGAGGAGGAGGAGAAGGAGGAGGAGGAGGAGAAGGAGGAGGAGGCAACTGACATAAAATCTAACAACCCTCACCTGGCAGGTGGGGAAAAACTGGAGCCAAGCTGCGCAGGGCTCACTGGAGCCTGCCCAGTGGATTGCAGATCTGTGGGGATCTGGTCAAACTTAGGGGTCCCCAAAAGAGTGGATGGTTTAAACTTGGTGAAATATGTTCTAGATTGTTCTAGTATGTTTTAATGCTGAACATGATGAACCTGGTTTGAGTCCCCGCATCTGACACTGAGCCATATCCATGGCAGAATCACCGAATTGAGAATGTGTGAACTGGAGGGTTTAAACCCAAAGGTAGTAGACACCCCTAAGGAGACTGTTACAGCATCCTGAAGCCAGCCACAAACTGCTGTCTTTGCGCTGTCCCGAAGCATGCGAATCACCCAAATCCTGCAAATCACATGTAAATCAAAAAAACAACGTGCGTATTATATGTAATGCACGCATCAATGAAGTAAATCATGATTCATACAAATCATATCACTCCGATCATACATGAATTGTACAATGTATGTAGATAGATACACATTACCCGCATTCAACGGATGGTCATGGGCCTTTGGCAAGGCCGCAGCAGGCGGCTGCTGCTGCGGTGACCAGGGGATGGCGTAGGTGGGAACCTTTGAGTGGACGAACCAACTGCGACGATGGGGACGTGATTAGCAGGGATTCATAGGGATTATATGAGAGATTTGAACAACACCAAAACATCTATAATCAGAAATATAATATGTATATATATATATATGGGAGTATTGAAGTAGAACTGGGGATATCTATTGTAAATGACGTTCAGATGATCCAAGCAAGAGAACATCGGGGGTGAAGTACTTAACAGGAATGAGAATATCTCTGATAAGACCCGTAATGAATCGTAATGATATGGCACGAAGTCACTAAAGACCAAATAAGACAAATGACATTCCAAGTAACCATGTTCCTGAAGAAGCTTGGGAAAAGCTTGAAAATTATTGGGGGTGCAGGGCCCGTTGACAGCTAGTAGGGGCCAGATTTCACTGAGCTCCCCCGCAGCCTGCCGTTTCGGCCTCAACCAGGGCCGAAAATTTGGGAGAATTGACGCTAGTGGCGACGGTCAGCCACCCAACATCCACATATTCCATGTACAAATTCATAGCTGAATAATGCTAAAATGCTGAAAAGTTATAATATAAATATATAATATGTATATATATATATAATATGTATGTATATATATATATATGTATACGGAATGCATGTAAATAATGATAGACAAACTAACATAAAACATACAATACTCATCATTATCATCTGTAGTATCTGTAAGGCATTTACAATGGAACCCCATGAAAAGCGGCAGGGACCGCACCTGTTGGGTGGAGCTGGAGCGTCAAAGGGCGAGGTGGGGCTGGCCTGCGCCACATCCGAAGATCTATGAGACGATCTGATATGTTGGAAATATATACATGATTATTATGGTTGTTATTTCTATTCCTATTATTATTGTTGATATTATTATTACTACTATTATTACAATATATACATATATATATATAAATATATATACATCAAATAACAACTGCTGATTGCTGGATATATTATCATTAACATCACTTACATACGAGACAATATCCAATATATATATATGAATATACAAAATGGCTTTGATATGATTGGAATGGATTATCTATATGGTACTACTAGGTTTAAGTGATGAGATGTGACACGGTGATGAGATGTTTTGTGTGCCAGCAGTTTCTTGACAAACCGTCAAGCAGTTGACGATCTCCACTCTTGATGGCCGTCTCCAAGTGACACCATCTGATACCCGCAGTGATCATCTAAATGTTGTGTGCTGCACTGCTGGATGGTCAGACATCACAAGCAAAGAATTCATCATGGCCAACAGCCCAGCCTCCCAAGATGGCCAAGCACCGGCTGTACCTGCTGGTTGGTGGTTTCAACGCATGAAAAATGGTGATAGGGGATATAATATCGGATGCAACTGTTTTTATATGACGAACAAACATGGGTGATATTTAGAGTGAATTGTTGGGTATTCTCTTCATTCAAATTGGGATGGAATAAACATATTGAAAACAAGATTGGCCATGGTGGTTTTACCATCAAAAACTGGGGATAAGTTGGGTTACCAACGGTTACCAGGTCCCAACATTTGTGGGGATTGAACCAATAGGAAATGGGTTGGGGTCAATGATGGGACCCACATTGCCTCCACTCTGTTGGACACCTCCAGTGCTTGGCCATGCAGATTGCCCAAAACCACTCCTCAGCTGCACCATGACAGGTTTGAACACCTAGCAGCTGCATGAAGGATCTCATAAACACATCCTGGCTTCAAAAATCAATCTTTCCTCCAAATAATATCTTATAATTTGTTCAAGTCAAGAAGTAGGGAGATGGAGAACGATGAGCGGAAAAGAAATTCCAAAGCAAGGCTTCAGTGAAATTGCCCCTCGGAAGCACCCATCCATTTCCATGGAAGCACTTGGAAGCTTCCCATCCAAACTCATTCAAGTCCATGTATCATTTTCGTTTTTATGCGGTAATCAAAATTGGCCAATGACTGGCAATTGTTGTTTGTATAGCTATCCAATATTGTCCAGTATGGTTCCATGATCTCCATTACAGATCTCCATAATAGAAAATCATGAGTATAATGTATATATATAATATTATATATAATGTATATATATAATATTATATATAATATTATATATAATATTATATACATAATATAAAATATTATATATATACTTATATCATGTTTTTCCCCATATTTTGGGATGGTTCTTACATGTTATTACCCATCATCTTTCGCCACCAAAACGAAAAACCCAAAAGCGTGGCATCCGTGCGAAGGCCACTCACTTTGGCTCTGAGATGGAGCGTGAGCTGTGGCCTGGGAAAATCCAATGGAATAGCTGGGATAATCCAATGGGATTAATCATGGATTAACATGATGAATCCCATGGTGAAAAATGGGATTAACGTTTGGATGAATCCATTGATTAATCCATGTTTATTGATTTTATTGTCACATATTATCACCCATTAGTGATTGATATGTAGCCACTAATCGGATCGTGGTGGGATAGTCACCATGCCGGGATCGTCCAAGTGGTCGCGAAGTGTGACACAACGGCTCCGGCTCTCAGGACAGAGAATTGTGAATAGGTCAGAACAAGGATATCTATGGATATTATATGATATGATTTATATTCATTTATTATGGATCTGCAAAACATCCAAAACTATTTAAGTGTATGGTAGTGTAAAGTATATTATAGAATCACCATGAATCCCCTTAGCCGTTCGGGGTCCATCAATTCACCTTCCACCCCATTGCTAGCGCCCGGGTGTCGGTGCAGGGCCATAGCTGGTGAAGGCCTCATCATCTTCACCTGGAATCTGTGCACACTGTGACCGTCCGTGACCTATCCGATTTCAAAAAAACATGTTGTACGAGTTCTTTGGAGACTGGAACATGCCGGAACCAACTCAGAGTGAACACTGAAGGACTGAAGGGTAATTAATGGTAATTAGGTAAGTGATATTAGTACCAGCTCTCTGTCTCTGCTAAACCGAACATTAATCAACCATCCCGGCGGTGACTGCACCGTACAGAAACTGAAGACAGCCTCCTGTGGAGGATTGTACTGTCAGTTCAAGCAAGCATCATCCAAGACGCTCTTCCAAATGGTGACTTGTAAAAAGGAAACATCCACGGATAGGATCGTAGTTCAATTCACACGATCTCTTCAAATTTTCACAGCCAAGAAACTGCTGCTGCCAGCCGAATTGCTAAATCCTGGCCGTTTCACAGAAAGAAACATGGTTTTGGAATGTTTTGGAACTGTCTAACCGTCTGTGAAACACCTGAGAGCTGCACCAGCATACTGCGCCCGAGCGCCAGTGGTAAAACCGATCTCTTCACCTACCCAGGGGCTGTTGGGTCAATGGTTTGCTTTTCCATTGCCATGGTTTAAATGATCATAACTGGGGATATAATGATGGGCATATTATAATTAATGTGGATATATAATGGGAATATAAGTATAAGTGTCAAATTGCCAAAATAAGCAATCAGGCTGGGAAATTTTGGAAGAAACAAAATTGGTGTTTTGGCTTAAAGGAACAAACTTTGCTTCCCCTTGCCGTTGTTGCTTTAGCTATAGTTCACTATTTGGGTTTGTCTCAAAATTGGGTTTGAGTCTGAGTGCTGCAAAATCCAATGGTTTATCATGGTCTACATCATGTTCCCTAGTCAAACGGCCCTAAATTGATTGTATTCCATCTTTGACACACCATGACACCCAAAATAGTGGTGTGTTGGTTATATACGGTTGTATAACCTCTTGTCGCCCCATGATACCGCCACAGATGTTGTTCATCCCAATCGTTCCTCATGTCCAAATGAAAATGGGTTAACCCCCATACTATGGTTGAATCTCTTCGGTGGGTCCTTGGAGAACCATCCGAGAGCGACAGGCCTTCGTCCCCAAACCTCAGCAATAACTGCATAAATGCGATGGATTCGGGCGGAGTGGTGGCCAACACAGAATAAACTTACAATATCTTAATTCTATTCTGCATGTTTCCTTTAGACCACACTACAAAGCCACAAGCCCGCTACACAAATCATTTATGTGCACATATCTCTCATGTGCGTTAGGGTGAAAACCAGAGTCGAGCGGCTTCCAGCCTCTGTTTTTGCTCTTCATTTTTTGGCGCCAAGAAATGCAAAAACAATGGTGCGTACGATCGTTGGAAGCAGAACTTGCAAGGAAACTGTTCAGGAAACGAAGCAATCACACAGGGACCGTAATGCATGACCGTACATGACAGCTTGTGTCCTATGACACGCGCCGGCCGTGGTCATAAGTCATAAGCCAAAAGCGCAGCATCCACAATAACCACAGGAACAACTGGAACGGTCTAACCCTGGACACTCAATCCTGACAGCATCACCGGTTTTCGAAGCTTTACATAAAATGTACTGTATCAAAATATATCAACATCGAATCTGCTGAAAACATCTTCGCCACTTGTACTTTCTCTTTGCATCTGCAGTTGAAATTTCCTCAGCCAAAGAAACTGAGAAGCCCAGCCTTTGAGGTGGAGAGCTGCTAGTGCCTTCGACTCACATGCCATGCAGGATCTGCTACTAGACCTACCAGGGAACTTGTTATAATCACAACAACTTTGCAAAAATATATGCAAAAGTCATCCTGATATAAGTTTACCATACCATGCTATACCATACCATACATATTGTATCATATTCTCACAAGACGATTCATCCTATACACTGCAACAACCATCAAGCAGGCCTCAAGATCACCTCTGACTAGGGGATCAGCTGATAACTGCTGGGGATGGGTCCCATATGGGTGGGACCAAATTGGAAACGCAATTTGGATCCTAAAAAATGACATGGTTTACAAGTCATGACTCGTCATGTCAGGTATATGTCAGGTATATATGGACTTATATGGTATATATTAATATATATATATATCTATTTATATATGGTATACGGTATATATATATATAAATATGTTGTATGTATATATCAAGATTTCAATACATCAAAATGTCAAACCGGGACGGACTGCGGTCCGCTGGCACCCGCTGGCACCCGCTGCCCATCGGTCCGCGAAAAAAAAAACAGGCCTTTCCACGGATCTCCATGGCTCGTTTTGGTCACCGGTTTCGCTGGTTGGGATGCCTCACAGGTCAGATATTGACCGGCTTAGCAGGTGTCACATGGTGTCACATATAGCCGTCTTGGCCAAACATCGGAAAAGCACACAATAATAATGGTTCATGGGGGATATATCTGATATATTTATAGTATACTATATAGTATAACATCGTATACTATAGTTAATGGGTTTTTACAAAGCAACTGAATCGTTTTGCTTTTCAAATGAGACACGCAGGTTTCTTTGAGCACTGTGAAACCAAAACAGCTGAGCCTCCCAAGGGGAGCTGCGCCGACCAGAGGATGCAGATGCCTCGAGAAGCCCGCTGGCAGCGTTTGACAATGGTTGCTGAATAGGGATTCCTACAGTATCCAATGATAATCACCATGTATTCACCATGTAATCCCCAAGAACACAGTATTAAAAATGTATTTAAAATACCATAAACATGTATAAATTCCCTACAGTATAGAGTATATTCTTTTTCAACCAACTGGGGTGTTTGAAACTGCCCAAATACCCAAATCGACCCAGATCCATATCACCATTGTGGGCATTGTCAGTATATCTTCTGCCAACAGGCAACACACAGGGGTTCAGTTCCTAATCTTACCAACTCAGAGAATTTAAAGCTTCAAGAGTTCAGTTGCGTGGTTTTCTCTCATTGCTCTCATTGTATAAGATGAATTAAGATGATATGGCGAAGATGTTTGCCATTCGCCATGCGGACGTCATTTCCTGCGTACAAAGTCCTGAAGCATTGCCATCCGGATGGATTTCAGCGGGGTATACTGAAGCTAATTGTAAATTGCCCATGAAGTGAATGTTCAAAACCTAACAATTCTGCAAAAGTACGAAAGGCCATGAAAACACGTGACGTTTGTCATTAATTTTCATTAGAAATAGCGCGGAACTGGTGTTACAACATGTTACAACTGGCTTTCACGTGAAGGTCAAATTTCCGGAGAATGTCATGCAAAAGATATATGCAAAGCATAGCGAAGCAGATCAGACCAGATGGAACCATGACAGTTGAGATCTTTCAATGGGCACAGTAATGCAGAGTATATCAGAGTATATTATAGCAATATCATAGTAGTAATATCATAGTATATTATAGTATATATTATAGTATATTCTTATAAATTGTTCCCAAATGTCTGCCGATGAACAGAACGCAGTCGCCTCGATCCCCTGCGGTCGATGTGGACGGTTCCTGGTCGCTTGAACAGGTGAGCCATCCCGGGCAGGCAAACTTCTATACCTTTTATTGCTTTCTCTTCTGCATCTAAGGATATCTAATGGATATCTAATGGATATCTATAGGATATCAAGTTTGCCCCACTTTTGAGTCAACCATATCAGCCAGGGAGAGGTTAAGGAATGAAATCCCAAAACAAAACATCTGGGCAATTGAGCAATAGTATGCACACCCAATCGGCAGGATAACTTTCTGTCCCGAAACATCCACACGATTAACGGGCTGAAAACCGGACCATTTCCAGCAACAGTCATTCTCAGGTGTTGGTGCAATAGAAAATTCATATCATTTCATGTTTTATAGCATGTTGTGACATATCTACTTGTATCATCTTGTATCATTTTGATTCATTTTCTATCCGCCATTTCTAAACAAACCAAATGGTCCATCATTCTTTGGAAACCAGCCATGGTTCATCATGTTCGTCTGAGGCGCCCCACTGCAGCTCTTCTACTTTGGCGCGCATCTCCAAATACCTTCAGCGCTGCTGGATCACTCGGCAGAAGTCTGCGAAATCATTCATCCTACAAACATCACAGGTTGGTGCTGGCCAATTGTGAGTTGGTTTGTAACCCGCATTGACATTCCATTAACCCCCATTAACCATAGATATCACCCCCTTAGTTATGCAGCTTTAAACCAATATATATATATATACCAATTAATATAATCCAATATAAACCAATTTAGCAAACTAAGGAGCACCACAAACATCACCAAGGAGCCAAAAGAGTCAATGGATCCGTTTCTCCCAGGCTCCCAGCTCTCGATCCGGCGCAGATGCAGCCGGTGGATGACCATAAGCCACTACCTACAGCGCCAGGGAGGCTGGGGGATCCTACCGCAAAACAAGGGGAGCGCTGCTGGATCAACGGGAACAAATGGGAACAAGAGATCCAAGAGGTTTTTGACAGATTATAACAGTGTTTTCCGCGAGCAGAAAACTGAATAGCTTCTGGCATGCTCTGTATGACTCTGTATGCATTGCTCAAGGGTGATGCTGATTCGTACGGACCGGCCATGCAAAGACAGCCAGCAACGTAAATATACGTTTGCCGTATACCGTACACATCTCAAGAATAGACAGAATAGTCCAATGATGATAGCAATTTGATGCAATTTGCACCAAAAGGGTTAGAAAAGGAGGTTCCTGGACTGATCTAAAAACCCTACTGATCTAAAACCCTACTGATCTACAGCTATTCTTCGACATCCTGATTCCATGAACAAGACATCATTTCACTGGTCAAAACCTGTGAGCTCTGCTTGATCGCCAGGATCGGGCAACGTGGCACCCAAGGTCGCCTGCCCGTGCTCAACCGGTCGAGCTGGTCGAACAGGTACCTGGTGCATCCAACGATGTGCCATGGCAGCCGTGGTCCTCAAGGATTTCAAATATCTGCAGTTTGATGGTTTTTGATGGTTTTTGATATTTTTTGCATATTTTTTGCATATTTTTTGCATATTTTTTGCATATGTTTGCAATAAATCTTCTCTGGCGATGCGTTCTGGGGGAGTTGAGATTCAACCAGCCTACTCAGTACATCTTTATATAGACACTTGTAGAGCCCTTATCCTGAGGTTTCTGAGTAGCCAGGAGCTTTGGAACTTGCTGACAATAGCTATGCAGCTATTCCATGCTCATTCCCAGGGGCCCCGCTGGGGTACGACACGCGCCGGCTTCTTGCGAAAGGCCCGGAATGGCAAACCATTGATGCGAAGCTCAAACTGACCTCATCAGCAAGTCTTTGAACTATATGACCCCTACGGGCCGTCAAAACTGGTGGGACCAACATCAACAAACCAGGCCTACTTTGGCACACTTTGGCTACGTATTGTTGCTGGTCGATCCATGAGTAAATAAAATCACCAAATGGACTGGCTATTTCAGAATCCAATTGTATCCAATTGTGGTAAGTTGGACTGGCTTTTCCAAGGAACATCCTTTTGATTCCTTGGAAAAAGATAGGTTTGGGGACCGTTGCCCAATGCCTCAAAAGGTTGGAATCACTGACTTGACCTATGCTTCACTTTTTTTTGGAAACGGCGAAAATGAAAGTTGGAGACTTCCTGGATCTCAGGACATATCAGGATATCCTAGATGATATCCCTGTCACTTATCCTGCAAGTCTTCAACCATTTCCCGACATCTTTATGCCACCAAGTGTCAATCCACCTGGGCTGTCAGGGCTGTTGGGAATCCAGGGATGAAACAGCCACGACTTCCACCGATTTTGGCCGGGCCGTATGAGGCGATGAAACAAGAACTGAAACCTCTCATTGTATGAACTATAGTTAGCTATGAGTAGTTTGTGGCTTCCAATCCTCCTCAAAAAACCTTCTCTGATTGGAGATAATAATCCCAAACATGGATTTGAAAACAAAAGCATCAAAAAACCATTCAAGCCCCAACTCATTCTTTCTTGGTCAGCTAATTCTTGCGATATTCTGGTGATTACAGTGATTATGTGAGTGAATATCCAACTCCAGAAAAATAATCCTATTTCATTTAGGATATATTTAGGATATATTTGGATAGTATCCCCATGTTCTCCATCAGATGAGATGACCATCCCAGGATGCCCAACTGAGTTGGCCATGCGGTCCATGACCTTATCGAAGATGCTGTCTGTACCTGGTGATTGCCGGCCATCAGGGCCAGCATATCATGTAGAAACCCCCGACCCGAAAAAGATGGAACGGTCAAATCTGAACCCAAATTGGTTATGATGCACTAAATTCTATCCGATATGATCCGATATATATGGGGTTGGCGATAATCTGGGAACATCTGGCAACTATTATTGGATCCTGCAGTGGGAGGTGGAGGATTTGGATCCCAAACAACGTAGTCTTCCCAGCAAATCCCCTGCTGACAGTGGGGCATGGCTCAGAATCTAGATGCCAACAATTACCGACCATGCAGTGTCCATTTAACCCACAATGTGGGTTGCCATAATATATATATATATACACACATACCCAAATCATGCCTGTTTTGCAGTCTACATCCGCAATTCTACATCCGCACGTTCTTGCTACGGAAAGGCAGTACCACTGGAGCCACCTGTTGGATACCCACCCACATCCCACAACTTCAATGAACTTCATAATGTCATAGAACTGGTTGAATGGACAACTGTGTATATATATTAATTATTATATATTATACTGTATATATAAATACAGGAAACCATGAAATTGTATTAAATTATGTTTATATGTTTAAGGGTAAACACATGGTTTCCTGTAAACGTTCCCATAAATTCATTGCTGAAGCACTAAAACTGAAACTTGGGTCACCATCTGCTTTCACCGGCACGATGGACAACAAATGACCACCTTAGAGGCTAGAGTATGCTCAAGGACGTGTGTGGCATGGCCTAATCACGAAACAAGTTGGATGAAAAAAAACAAGGGGATAGCAACACCAAAAAGGAATGGTGACCTACATAAACAAATGAGATGTCCACCAACTGACAGAAATGAGTGCTGATAGATCAAAGGCATTATGTGCTCTATTGTTTTCTAAAGCAACCATAGATTGGTAGGGAAATCACCAAAAAAACAGTCATTTCGCACTTTCTTCGTTGTTTAGAATGTTTCAGGTCGGGTGTAGAGGTTCGTAATCATCATAATTTTGATCAATATATGTTTCAGTCAGCACCTGAAGTGTGGGGTGGGAACCTGGTCACCCAGCGGTAATAACCTCGGTTCTGTGGTTTCTAACGAGTTGCAAATGGTATTTGCACGTATTTGTCCTGTGCTTCTTTGGCCGCCAGTGAAGCAGGTCTGAAATATACTTCTGCAGATCAAAATGATCAACATAACATAATAACTTAATGACATAACACAAAATAAACGTACATAACCCATCATGAATCATAACCCTTTGTTTGTTTCGTCTAGTTGCCAACAGAAACCAGCAGAACTTCTTCAAGCATTCACAAGTCATCAACGCGCCAAACAAATCCTGGTCCAAGTGACCAATGGGCCAACTGTACTGAAAGTTGGGCGACCGAAAGACCTGAGCTGCGGCTGAGTCACTACCCTGTTGCCACTTGTGGTTGTCAAAGACAGGTGATTAAAAACATGTTAAACTGTTAAACCATGTTAAACCTCTCCCTGGAAGAATGGTGAGTGAATGGTGGCTACAATCTTCAATACGAAACTTCGAAGCAGAACCCGAAGCAGAACCCGTTGTGGATCGTTTTTTTAGGCACTGCTCTGGGAGTTCAGCCCAATAAATCCATGGGGTCTGGTTCTGCTTAAATCCTGTTCGTCAAATCATAGAACCCGCAACAATCGCAACAGAAATCAACATAAATCCATATTGTATCGTATGGTTCTCACAGTTCATCCCGGATAACTATGGATAACTGTCATTTTGTTCTTAAGGCTCATAGATGCTCTTAGCCCAAGCCGGAAAAGCACCAGCGACTGTCTTTTACGCAAGAGTCAAGAGTGAGGAATGTGAGTCTGCTTGACGCATCTGTATGGACAAGCTACCCATGCTGATGCTGCTTTGAAACACAGCTGCTCTGCGTTTGATCGGGGACAACCAACTTGTGCTCGCGGTGGAGCAGCAAGTTCATTGCTCAGGTGAGTGTGCATCCTGAAATCTCTACACTTTGCAGGTGCACCAGGTTGCAAAGTTTGCACAAAATTGGAGTAACTGGGCATAACTGGGCCACTTGTAGTAACTGGTTGGAGGTTGAACCGAGCATCCAAAAAATATCAAGAAATCATATCACTTGATGTCACTTGGGATCATCATTCCAGGACAGATTTGAAACCACCAACCAGCATCCAATGACCACTGGACAGTTGTTCTGTCCCAGTCTGTGCGTACAGAGCTCGCGCGGCGGTTCAGCATTGAATGGCTGACTATACATAGGAAGGTGTTCCTGGTTCAAAACTCTTCGCACCACAGTTGCTGGTTGCTGGATGGCAGAAGCATGTTCATGGAATAGATATTTCATGATATTTCTGAAGAATGAACAATCTTCATGCATTTCCACAATTTTCCCAACCAAGCGCCATCCTCAAGGGCACTCCAAGTCCTCAGCCAGACCTCTTTCAAACAAGACTAGTCGCCTAGCCGCACACATCATTTTTGCACATGGTGCCGTGCCGCAGTCGCCATCGATGTTCACAAATTTAGTACGGGCATGGTTTGCAGCCATACCGGAAGCAGTAGTAGGTCGTCATTCCCAGCTGGCGGCCATATGCACAGCCATAGCCACATCTGCCTCGGGCCATCAGCCCAAAAGGAAACATCAACCCGACCGCAAATGGCAGGATAAGTCCAAGAAAGCACGAGAGGATCTGGCAACTGCATCAATCTCAGCTTTGATGTTTACTGCCCAAAGTCTCAGTCAAATTAACATCAACGCTGGCGAATCGAAGCAGATCAGCTACAGTGTCCCAGAATTGTTTTGGGAACTGCTGCAGGACACCAAATTTAATGGTAATCAGAGTACTCACAATGTGTTTCTGTTTTTCCTTTTCCAATCTTTTCCACAAATTGTCCCAGCGATAGTAGACTGGTTACGCAATCGTCACCGGAACTTCCACCCTGGCCATGGGATTATCCAGGTCCATGGATGCTGTAACCTTTTGCTTTCGAATCACATGAACCTTTGGGGGATCCCTGAAAGAACATTTGGTTGTCAGCAAACACCAATTTTCCAGAGCAACAAAACAGTCGCGTGGTGAGTGGTGCGGTGCTCATCAGCTTCCAAACTCACGGTTTGGGGCTACGCCCGGTGGATGATTTCCCATGATGCTCCATGATGCTCCACTATTTATCACACGAAATGGGATTTACATGGCAGTGGGTCAAAACCTTGTACCCCTGGTGAACATAAAAATAGCTGGTAAATGGATGTTCATCCCTCTAAAAATGGTATTAATAGGTATTGATTCATAGCCACATGGATCTCCCCTTGATTTCCAATGATTTAACATTGCCAGCTGCTGGCTTCCCAATACCAATGGCGAGTTGCAGTAGAGCACTTTGCTGCCAACACTTGCAGCCTCCCAGGCTTCAGGACTTGCCATGTTGAGGCTCTTGAGTTTCCTCAGCTCAAAGGTCCAATCTTCGGCGGGGAATATGTCATTCCTTCCCCCTAAATATTAAAAACCTCCCATAAACCATGCTATCCATGGTTTAGTCAGTTTAGTATAGGGGATTCACACATTTGCGGGAGCATTTATAAAAGTGTTGAATATTAGGGAGATGGGCCATGGGATCAATAGGCCTCGCACACTTGAAGATTAGATACTTTATTCAAACCGGCGGCATGGGTCTACAGTAAATGGATAATGTGCCTTAGCTTAAAGGGACGACAGACAATTTCAAACAACAAATTCCCGCGCCTTGGACAAAGTTCCAAGACGTCCAAGAGATGTCAGATTTCTTCGAAGACATTGGGGCAAGGGTTTTTGCTTGGGTCCCTGCTCCTCCTATTTCCAAACATGCAACATCATGCAACTACCAGTAACTCAAGACCAGGACATGTCCAGGACATCAATACATTCAATACCTACCCCCGAAGGTTTTTGCCAGCCACCTTCATCTGCCGAGCTTCTCCGAAGTCTCTGATGTCTGTGGTTCTTCGTTTTTATCAACTGGGAGCACCTGACCATCCGGACCCTGATCGCTGCCACGCAAGGCAGGGTTCGTTGGGCTCGTGGTATTCTCTTCCACACAGGCCATGCATCCACAGTTGCTTGCCAGGTCAAAGATGTACCAAGATCCCAGCTGCTTGGCCTTAGCTTTATATATGGTGGTCACATCCCAAGGGGGTCAAGCCTCTCGGGGGATTCACAAGTCACCACCTAAGGTCGCCACTAAATCCAAGACACAATCGCAACGACTAAAACTAAAATTGCTCCGCCAAACTCAATCCAAGAAAAGATAAGAAAAGTATACGACTTTCACGACCGGGAGTAAGTCTACTGATTATTACTGATGCATATATATATATTCATCTATGAACCACTGGTCAGTCACTGGCCATCCAAGCATGGAGGAACAAATCAAATCAAACAAATACAAATAAATCCAAGCTGCACAGCTCAGTCCGCAGTGGCAGTAGATGAAGGCAGTCCTCCAGGAACTCGTCTCATTGACATTCTCTGCCAGGCTTACCAGCAGCAAGGACAGCAAGGAGAAGCTGCGAAGGCTCATGGCTTCAACGTTGAAATCCGCTTGTGGCCTCAAGAAATGCCTTCCAAAACGGCTGCACGTGTCATGATGTGCAGTGAACCTGGTATCTGGCAATATAGCTAGTAGGGATCAGAAAAGGTACCAAAAGAACCTGCTGCGCATCTGCCGAAGTGCAAACCCTCGCGAAACAGTCTGGCTTTGCAGGGCAAACATAATAAATACATAGAAATAGTCAAGTAATGTGAAGTAAACCTTACCCATTGAAATTTTGACGAGAATTGCCAAACTCCATCACTGATTTGGACAATGTCCAAATTGTTCAAGCATCATTACATGATATTACATGATATTGCCATGCATCATCCAAATTACGTTTCTTCAACCCCAAGCTTTGACCCATGCCCGTCAAAAAGTCTGCGCCGCCAGCACTTCACAAAACTCTGTGCCGGGCCGTCATCTCATGAAGGAGTCGTCCATCCACGAAGATTCGCTTCTTCCCAGACGTCCTCAGCGCTTTGGGAGGCAAGGAACGTGTCTGTGGTTTGTTTGCAATAGGTTGTGGTTATGAGAATCCCAAGAACATCCATAAAGACTACAGAACATGATAGAACTATAGGATGCTATAGAGATGAAAAGCATTCCTAAAGGTCGAGAGAATTCACACTGTGCACGCAAAGGGTTGAATTCATTCAACATTGGCCTTTGGAGCCTCTATGGCTTGCAAGTAGCATCTCACAGAAGATCAGTCCTGGGATGCGACATCACGATTCTTTGCCACAGCTGGTTTTGTTTTTTTGCTTCCGAGGACCCGACTTGGTATTGGTAAATTCAATCCTGCCAAATGGATTCAGATGGGGAGGCCATGGCAGCCTTTTGGTAATCCACAAGTTGCAGATTTTCAGGGGGCTGTCTGCTCAGCACGACACACAAACAGCACCAAACGCTCAAGAATGCAGTTTGCGTTTGGCATCGCTGTGATGTTGGAATGTCTTCTGCATGTGCTGCACCAGCGGAGCGGACCGCTTGCAACGTCGATGCCTTATCCAAATGGCAACTGGGTCCTTACGCCTTACACCCTGAAAACCAAATAAATTTTGTAGAAGCGGTACGACGACTCAAGGTGCTCGGGAGTATTCTTGGCCCTTCTGTTTGTTATATAGATGCTCCTACTTCCAATGGCAGTGGTCAAGAGCCAGGTCCTCGTTAAATATAGCATAGCAATATATATAACATGACATAACATAATATAATATACAATAACGTACCATAACATGACATAACATGACATGACATAACATGGGGTACAGTAGAAGGCGTGACAGCTGAGTTTACTTGGTCATGTTCATTCGTACTGTATGTAGACGCGACATGTTGCTGACTCTTCGTTGGCCCTTCGCGCTGAATGCTGGCACCGCGCAGCAACATGTCATGATGGACCTAAGCACACTGAAATTGCTTTTGACTTCAGTTGGTCCTCATCAATGCTGAATGGAACATCCCTATTAAGATGGATGATTTTGGGGTAGCCCCATTCCAGAACGCATCAAACCAAACCCGCCCCTGCCCCGTCCTGTGGACTTTTCCATCTACCATGACCTCCCAGGTATAGCGGACCTGAGCAAAGGCATAAGGATTGCCGAAAAATGCCAAGGGAATTGTGGATATTAAAATTAAACAAACCAGCTTTCAGAAATGTCCGTTGCTTTTTGGAGATCATCTCCATATATATATATATGTATATACGTATAATCATATAATATCATGTAATATGTATATAATATAATTATATATATATAATATCCATATATGTATGTATATATATATATATATATGTATATATCCATTAAACATCATTAAACAGCTTGGTGGAGACGGTCTCGCCGTCTCGCCAACGGACCCCCAGCCTTGGTATCCGCAAAGGTCTTCCCTGTGGAATTTTCATCGAAGCTGATGGCTACCACCGACTCCTTGGGCGGTGGATGATTCCAAGGAGATTGAAAAATCAACTGATGATTACAACATATTCAAACTATAGAGTAGTGTACACCATGTACATCACTATACACATATATAATCTAAATAAATGTTCTAACATGTTCAAATCATTTCAATGTCTCAATGGTGGATTTACCAAGAGGAACTATCAAATCAGCTTCAACAGATCCAAGATAAAGGCAATTGGGGCCCCCGAGGGTCAAAACATCATTGACCACATCGAAATATCATAAAATATACTAAAGTATACTAAAACATTTTTAAAAAGTTATTGAATGTTATTGAATATCCATCATTTTTATGCGCGACTACTGGTGCCAACGTGCCCTCTGAGCAAGCCGGCATCAGTGCCAACCTCCATGCCCTATCAGCCTGCAGCTAAAGAGGATCTTGAATGCGAATGAGTTGAATATGTGGTGCTCCAATATGGAACCCCAAAACTGCGATGAAGGAAGGAATCTTCGCAAACTTTGTTGTTGGAGCACATGAACATTTCCATTGGGGCGGTTCCTGGCACTGGGCAGCTGTACGGTACAAATGTCAGAGTAGTCTGCTCCGCATCGTGGAAGAGCATGCCCCAGCTTTGGATGTGTTTAAGAGAAACAAATCTCGTTATATGTGAACATGGGGGATACCGAATACCCTCAAATTGCACTGTTCTTAAAGGGAACATATTAATGAACATACAATACATGTGCAGTAAACCAATGTAACGCATCTGATGTTGGGGTACAACAAATCCATCTGCGGACCCACCACGGGACCTTGGGCTTTGATTGGCTCTGGGATCGGCGGAGTCGCGTTGATTGCTAGGCTTTGAAGATTTTCAGGTTGCAAACGCAGAAAATCCACATCAAACATACCCAAAGCTTTCAAGCTGGAAGTTTTTTGATTATCCGATTATCATCGATTATCCATGATCTAAATTGATCTGCTGAGAGGTTCCATGATCTGAATGGTGGATTCTTGACATGTTTTGAGTGGTTGATTGCTCATAGGATGGCAGGATGAGCCCAGCCGACAAGTGGAGGACTGGGACCTTGAGCCGTCCACATTACAAAATCAACGCATCTGAATGCTGAAACGTCTCACTAGACATGGATGACATGGCTATCAGTCATATTGCGTCATGGTCGAGGTATTTGTCCATTTGGGGATCGAAACGGATTTCGACCCTCACCAGCGCTCCGCTCACAGCGGTTTTTCGGCTGTGGTGAAAGTTTGCCCGCAGCCGTTGCCGCCAAAAATCCACGTGTCACGACAAGCCTTGGCCAGGGGGATCTGCAAGACACAGCACAGAACTTCAAGGCACAAAGATTAGAGAAGATCACAGCACAGCGATGGGAAATGTGTTCCAAATAGGGGAGAAAGTGATTTCCCATCAGTTCAAGATGGTTCAAGGCTTCGATGGAACATGTGGGAAGTACAAGGTGGTACAAGGTGGCCAAACATGCCAAACTAAATACCGGGCATGATCCCCCTACAAAAGGACGTCCGGATTCTGAACAGATTGGGTTGCTGGTGACTGGAACCGGCGCGGTCGGAAATATGGCTATGGATTAAGACTGGGATACCAATGGAGACTCAAAATTGGTCGTGTTTTATGTTCACCATTCTTTAAGCATCCATTTTTGGGTCTGATTACATCACTATATATGTAATACTTCGTACCCTCCGGCTTTTTAACATAGCTATGGAAAATGGATGAAAATGGACCGTTTGTAGATGATTCATGATGGTTTACCTATTAACAAGTATGTCCAGTTCGCTACCTTAAACAACCAGAGGCTAATTAAAGCATCTTTTGGCCACCCAAAATCTCACACGAAGCGCACCGAACCGCACCTTTGATCTAGGTGGACCAGTCCTGGGCTTAGATGTCTGCAACAACACAATGATTGGGAAACAAAATAATTGTGGGGGGTTCCATAAATGGGGCTACCCCATTCAATAGCTGGATGGTTTCTTTCATGGAAAATCCTAGGGGGCATCCCCATGACTTGGGAAACCTCCATATGGTTGGGTCTGATAAAATGGAATGGCAAATTTGATGAGGAAAATGATATACAATCCATTCGAAGCGGATATATATATATTATATTATATATATATTTTTATTATACTATATATATATGATACATACATAAACATACTACATAATATACCCAGCAACCCCCTGGTTTGCCCAGCGATTCAAAGTGTGGAACACTCAAGGAAGGATGTCCACATCTCGTCAAGCCTGTGTCCATGGCAGAATTTTCAACTGAGCTCCCAGACAGCCAGGTCCAGGCCCAAACTGTATTGAGTCTCCTCGTTCTCCTGCAAGTAGACACCTTGGCCGTTGCTATGGCCATGGCTGGTCTCGGGGCTGATGCTTTAGATGCGTTTAAAAGGTTTGCGCAAAAATATATAGGATTGCCATAGGATTGCCATAAACCCCCATTGACGCAAATGATGACATCTAGACACTAGACCCTGTCCATGCAACAAATCTGAGGCCGTTGACGCAAGAAAGGCACACAGCTGTCGCTGTGTCCAACCTGGGAACCCTGGCGGATGCTCAAGAAATCCGTGGGGCATGCAGTTTCGCAGCGCTTGCAGCCCACGCAGTCCTGTGAGGTGGACAAAATATGTAGCAGCTATCTCTAGTGGTTTGGCTGCATACAATTGCAAGCATGTTTGGGTAGGTCAGGAATCGCTTGCTAATTATATATTAATTCTATTACATTCTATTACTATGTTGGTTTGAAGCGTACATTTGGATACCCGCCTTCAGTGCATGGATCTAAGGTTGTCTCAGAATCTAAAACCCTCCAATATTTCAAGATCGCATCTTCTCCAAATCAAAAGGCCATAACTTGGATTCCCACCTCCCAAATTCTGAAACAAGCGAATGTCATATTGGTAACATGTCCCTGCATCCGCATAGCAATTCTGGTTGTCTCTTTTAGAGTGAAAATCACCTACAAGGTGTTGCCCGCCAGTTCGAAGTTGGCTTTTAGAGCCATCTGATAAATTCTAACTACACATATATAATCATAATCATCATCTATCTATCTACCCGAAGAATGCATAAAACCAATCCTATGCCAATCCTTAACCCACTATAACCATCTATAACCATCTATTACCCACTGAGACAAACCAAGACTTAGTTAACCGGAGCATGGGGCCCTTGCCTCAACTCGAGGAGATGATGCCACCTGCTTGGCCGCGTTCACGGTGGCGGGCACCATCCTCAGCGTCCGAATCCTGTGGAGGATGTCGGTCAAATGTGGGTTTCCCAAAAAATTGGATGTTTAAATGTGTTTAGTACGAAGAATGACCGACATCTGTGTTGCTTTTGCGGCCCTAAAACTCTGACCCCTGGCTTCCCACATTACACAAAACAAACTGACAGCGAAAGGAGTGAGTTTTGTGAGCTTCTCACATTGCCAAAGAAATAATCTCGACACCAGCGATATTTATCGATAATTAATATTGCCAGAAAAAAATACATGAGCTGTGTAACCTTTACTTTCAAGTCCAACTACTACTACTGGTACGTGGACTGTTGTCGGATCTCCTCAGCCGGTTATAACAAAAATATACAAAAATCTCACCTGGCTGTGGCTCAAGAAAATGGATTACCCATAAACTCACACAATACTCACACAATTATCACACTTTCATACAATTTCTATCACTTTAAGTCATTGCTAGTAGTTGATTCTATGATTTTCATTGTTTTTAGACGTATTCATCAGAATTGATAAGAAATCATGCATCCTTTTTAGGGCAGTCCGCTTTTTTGTCATCCCCCAAGTACCCAGGACGCCCTGCTCGAGCACATCAGTGGGGCAAGCACGGACGCACAGGGTGCAGCCTATGGATCCAATGGGAAGGCTCCGATCACAGGGTTTCAACTTGGACTCCTAAACAAAGCCACAAAACGGGCCAAGATTGAACAAACTGCTACTGGTGGTTCATGGATGTTCATTGGATATCAATGAACAATATAATATAATATATATATATATACTATATATATATATACATATACATACACATATATATATATGTGTTTATATATGTGATGAATGTTGATTTCCAATACATGAATAGTACTCGTACATGGAACCCACTCAGCGGGAACCCCACTTGCTGGATTCTTGGCGAAAATCTGTACTGCAGTGTAACACATCCGCTTGGGATACATGCCAATGCACAATCAATGACCTGGAAATCATTTACTGGTTTTCTATGGTTTTCTTAATTAGGACTATGTTATCTTTATCTTTCATTGCCAGAGGTCTCCTCCCATAATTTAACACTTCCCCATGGAAAATTGCCCATGTGTACATGTGCTACCTACCAAAATCTATCATTTCTATGGCAAAGAATATGGATGCGGTCAGCATGTTTCAAACTCAAATTTAAAAGATTAGTCTTCAAGTGGAAAAGGATTGTTTCGAAACCCGCGACCTGGCTGGCTTGGGGGGGCGGGGGGGGAAACAAACTAACTCTGGGGAAAAAAAAAGTTTCCGGCCGAGAAACAAAAGTTTCCGAGCCCTGGGAAAAGGTTAGTTTCCGGGTCCGGAAACAAAGGTTTTGAGCCGGAAAAGGTTTGTGTAACGACCGGAAACAAACGTTTCAGAGACCGGCCAGGAAAAATAAAGTTTCGAGACTCTAGTTGCAAGTTTCCGAAACTAGGGTTTTTCGAGGGCAGGTAAGGAGTACGTTTCTTTCCGCAGCATTCCGCAGCCACGGCGAAACACCGCTTTACTTCCCGGCAAAAATGCAAAATGACGACAGCGGTCAGCTTATGATTGCCAAGGATGCACCATTCCGAAACCGTTTTCGCTGCTGCAGGGGCCGCCCCGTAGCCAATAGTTGCGTTCGCTTGGTTGTTATTGCAGGTTCGAAAGCCGGCAGATGCGATTGATAATTAGATGGTGCGTTGGTGTGTTTCCAGGCATTCCAGCCTGGTACAGTATGGACCGGCTGGATCTTGCATGCATTGCATGAAGAAAATGTCGCTGGTGCAAGACCTTCGTGCTATGGAAGAAGTGTTGGAGTTCAATGCAGGCATCGTTACGGAACATACTTGGAACGAAACCTTACCGTGAAACGTCTTCACACTGTTTTGTTGCGTAAAGCGTTGCCAACGCACGCAAACAAATTTGTTAGACACAACCACCACCACAACAACAGCAGCAACAACAACAACAACAGCAACAGCAACAACAACAACAGCAACAGCAACAGCAACATCAACATCGACAAGAGGCAGCACACGAAGAATGCAAAGGAAACGAACAAGAAAAAGGACAAGAACGAGATGATGATGATGATGATGATGGTGATGATGATGATGATGGT